CCCACAACCTCATACTCACCACATAGTAGAAGCTCATGGTGGTGATTCTCTTGTATCCTTCTGTGTTTAAGACATAGTGCACAGTGATCATCCTCTTCTGCCCACATTTCAGATCTTTCCACAAGGGCTCAATCCTCAGAAAACTGCTAGTCCAAGAGTAGAAGCGCTGGACGGAGAGAGATGCTTCTGGGTAGTAAGGCTCTATCCAGCCTTCATAGTGGCAGTGGTCACTGGTTTTATAAACTGCCTGAATAGGAGAGGGAGTGGGGAAGAAAAGGAAAACAAACATATATCACTAGGGAAGTCATCATTACATTCTGACCTCAGAATGATTAGTTCACGTAATGCATATAGATAAGAACTGTGTCTAAAGCCAAACTGGTAAGGAAAGAGCAGCCTTGCAACAAGCCATTGCATTGCAACTACTCAGATGTTTTCTTCACTCCTGGTAGTTTTTGAGAGCTCTAGACCATGAAGAAAGATGAAGAAAGCATATTTTATTACCAGAATTAAAACCTCACCCATCTTCTTTTGGGTTCAGTTTGAGAGCAGCCATCTCTGTCTGTGTCTCTATTCAGCCTTGTTTTGTACTCACTTTCAGACTGATCTCGGGATCAAACATTTCGGATGTGTCAATGCTAAACTCAGCAACACCGTTATGATCCGTGGTGAAGTTGTCTGTATTCTTGTTATTGACAAAGAGCTCAATAACTTCATTGGAAATTGGAGAGTTGTCTTTGTCTACCAGCTTGATCTGTAAAAGGGGATGTGAAACATGTTGAGTGTACTGTCTTTCTGTATGTAGACACTGATATTTTGTACTCGTTTGCTCTCCAAACAGCAGAATTACTCTTCCTTCAACGCAACACTTGACAGCTGAAAAGTCTCTCTTCACTTTCTGGCAACCATCTGAGCTATCTTATGAGGTTAGGAGAAGGAGCTTCCTCAGCATCTGCCACACCATTGATAATGTCCTTTTGTGGAGCAAGAACTTCTGTGTCTCATCTCTTCCCTGATCAGTCCCTTCTGACTATACATTTCCAGTTAAAAAATATATTTTCTTTTCTCCCTTCCTTTTTTCCCTTCCTTAGTCTTGAGAGTCTGCTCCTGCTGTTTTCAGTGTCTGAAAACCTTTTCTCCACTTCTTTATTTTGAACATTTTTCTGGTTCTGTCTACATTGTCTCTGCTGTTTGTGTCAAACGAACAAACAAACAGCAAAATAACAGAACCCTTTAAGTAAATTCTATGTTGCTAGAAATGAGATTTTTAAAAGATAAAAAAGAGAGTAGGAATGGGAACTGAAAAAGAAAGGTATATAGACTTTACAGTGGGGGAAAACCCCACTCTTGAAAGACAATCTCTCTCCTTTCAGTGCTACTGGTCCTCCTCTATCTTTTCCTCATTGACAAAAGCTGAACTGAAGGAGAGAGATTTATCCCTACCCTTTAAACCACTGACAGAGTTATGTGGGTATTGTCATGAAACAAATGAAAAACCTTTCTGAGACAAAAACTGTTGTTATTTCCTTGATTTTTTTGTGTGTGTCTTAAATTCCTTTCCCTCTTTATTCCCTCATCCAGCAGTGTTTTTATTCATGTCTGGTTGGCATGTGATGGTCAGTTTTGAAGGGAGAGGCAGTGATTTATAGCAAGCTTAAAATGCAAGTTAGAGAAATGCTAGTTAATGGGCTGTTCTGATCTGAAGTATTTCTGGCAGAATCAAACTCAGAATAAACTAATAGTCTTCAGTATTCAGAACTACCAGTAGGGCATTGCGTTCAGTGAAAGAGGACTGGGGAGAGCACCCCCACCCCAAACAGTCTCCTAGATGTTGCCATCATTGTTGTTATGTGATGGCCTATCAGTCATCTTCAATACAAGCCCTCCAAGCTCTTGCTTACCTGTCCAAAGTAAGGAATTCCTCTTCTGTAGTGATGATCCACGTTCTCAAACCGTATGGCGCTCATCACCCGAGTTATGGAAATAACCTGAGCAGCTGTAAATTGCAGGCCTGGAAGACATGCCCAGAGTCATGAGGAGATGAACTGTGTCTTGCACAGAGCATCATCAGAGTTTGCCTGGAGATGGCCACTGTGCTTGTAAAAATGTGCCTCCCTTCCTCATGGAGACATCTCCTTGTACTCAGCAAGCAGAGGCTGTCTCCTACTCTCTTCCTGGACCACACTGCTCTTGCTGTTCCTGTCTGTCTGCAAGGGATTACCTGTTCCTTTTTCTGTCACAGTGACCTTCACATCAAGGTGCCTCATGTAACCAGTGCGATGTAACTCAAAGATGCTGGAGCTGAAGACCTGGGAGAGGCAACCCTCTGTCTCCAGCTGGACAGGGAAGAAAACAAATCCTGTTGTCAAGGATCATAGCTTGCAAAGGGTGTTGACAATACACAGGATCCTTCTTTAGTGAGTGAAGTATTTTCCCAGTAATTTTAACATGATTTATGCATGTTTATGGGAAGCTGAGTCATGAAAAAGAAACATGTCAATCCTCCAGGCCTGCAAGAAGCCAAGAAGAGAAATGAGGTGCCCTGAGCTCCTAGGTAGTCATACAAGCAAAGAGAGGAGTAGGGTGAAGAGAAGAATCAAAGACAGAAAGCAAAGTGTGATGGGCAAAGGGAGAGGAGCAAGAACACGGAACAGAGGACAAGCATGATGAGGAATAATAATTATGTAACGTACATTTTTGGTATACGACTGACAAACTGGGCTTTTCTTACACCTCCCGTATGAATCAAAATCCCTGCACACACTGAGCTTGACTTTCCCTTCAACAGGCTGGCCATAGGTGTACCTAGGGGGAGAGGAAATATGATCTGATGAGGTCTATGAGCTAATGCTTGAAAAATAATCTTAAGCTAATGTGTGCTGGAATAGATCCAGGACAAGCAGTGAGCTGGGAAGCCAGAGCATGAAATAGTTTCACAGGCTTTTTCTAACTCTCCTGCTTTAACAAAATAGAAAATACAACTCAGAAATCAAAATTAGTTCTTTTTCACACCTAAACCTATGAAACAAAGCTACACTTTGAATGTAAAACCAAATACCTTTATAAACATAATGAACAGATGAAGCTACTGATCAAATTAAGACACTTGTCTCCAATCTTCTGCTTAAACTGGAGTTCCAGGCTCACTGAAATCAAAGCAAAACTCCTCATATCTGTTAAGGAATCAGAATTTCAACTCTGGATCCCAAATGACAAGATTTTGGTGTTGGTGTAAGCAAGTTCCTTCTGAAGGACCAGGCTTGGAAGGGAAGTTAGACAGCTCTAACTGTAACACCCCAGCTAGAATTCAATGTTGCTCTGCTTTATGAAGCAGTGTCTCCCTCTGAAGTGTGTTGTTTGGAGTGGACACATCCTACTTCACCAGGGAACCTCTCAAAAGGTTTATCCACCGCGTAGAACACCATGTGGAGCCAAATACTTATACAATAAAATGGGATGAGCACAGAAATAAATGAAAGCTCCAATGACCAAGTCAAGCCTCACCAACCTCTTCTGGGGCCCTATTTTTGCTTTTCTCTACGCCCTGGCTCTTTCCCTAGTCCTTGGGAAGTTCTTCCACTTCAGCACATTTCCTAACCACTCTGCACGTGGTACTTACAAGCCACAGACTTTCACGGTGAACTCTGAATCCAGGATTGTAAGGCTTTCTGGTGCAGTGACTGTGACATCAAACTTTGGCAACACTAGGACAAAGAGTAAAAAGAAAAAAAACCCAACACTTGGGATATGGTAAATTTGCAGACCCTCCTAATTTGAAAGCAAAAATGAGAATATATATCTTATTGTTAGCCATAGAGGGAATGGGATTTCAGAACCAGGGTGGCAATGTGTTTAAGAACTGGCCTGATCTGCAAAGGCTTACTAAAGTATTTCTGCAATACTTAGAAGAAAAGACAGGACTTTTAAAGTGAATCCTGTTTTGTCTAGATGTCTTGCAGAGCTTTGGCAAAGAAAGTTCATGGACATAGCTGGGTAAATTCAGTGAGACAAAATTTTGTCTCACTGAAATTTGCAGTCAACTTGCTGATTTCTTATGCAGATTATTTTGCTGGCTGAGTGTGTGAAAAATTGTAAATTTTTCTTGGTTTTTTGTTTTACTCTACTCTTTCTTTTTTAATTTCCCCAGTTCTTAAGGACAACTAATTGAAGCTGCATTTGCCAGGAAGCTGTTTGAAGTTTTAGCAGTCAAAAAGGTTGCTTGATATGAACTCATCTCTAATATTTCCTACAATGAATAAAAAAATATATATATTTTTTGGTGGCATTTACCGTATTCCTCCACAAGGAATGAGTGATTTATTTTGTCTCCTGACTTCTTTGCTACAATAATTTTGTAGTTCCCCAGGATAGGCTCTTCAGTGAGTGGGAATTCTAGCTGAATAATGTTCATCTCTGACGTCACATTTTGCCACTGCAAGATCCTGTTGCCCCTTGGATCCTGAAGAAAAAAAGAATACAGACTCACAGTTTTTTGCCTTGGAAATCTTTTGCTACTAGCACACAAAACCAGCAACAAGAAGAAAATAGAGCAGGTTGCTTTAACTCCCTGGAGAAGCTGCTTAATGCATGTGCATTGAGTTAAACTGTGCCTTTGTACTCTGATTATTCATGTTATTATTAATGTTGTTAGATTCTCATCTATTGTTCCCGATTTAGGTATTCTCTGCCAGCCTACTTATTAGTCTCAATCATCAGGGAAAGTTGCACAATGCTGCTCTTTCCTGCTCTTTAGTATATGTTGCTCTAGATTTGTGTCAAGAGGGGAGAGAAAGAAAATCTTCTTTGTGCTTTCCCTTCAGCCAAGTTTATCCCACACAAATCTTGGCCTTTAGCAACCCCAGCTTTTTTTTCAGCTTTTGCCAGAAGAAGGAAGGAAACCTTTATTTTGCATTCATTGGGGTGGCATTTTCTTCTCAGTATATGTTATGCTAGCTAGACTAAAGAAAACTCATTCACACCATTTCCTTGACTCTTTACAGCAACAACTGGAAGAAAAACATGTGGAGGGCTCAGAAGATGCGTGTTCTCACTGCAAAGAAAATAAAGTCCCCTGACTTCATAGTGTAACATGGAAACTTGTAAGTATGCTGTCTAGACACAAACTGCAGTTCTTTAAAAATCCCCAGAAAATGCCATGAAAGTACTGACATAGTTAGTAGTTGTATTCACAACCTGTATTTGTTCATAGTTTTCAGCAGCACTAGACTTACAAAAAGATACACCCCCAAAATAAGTTGAGCAAACTGGGGGAAGGGGAGAGGAATCAAAGGCAGACATAAGAACACTACAGATTTCAACTGCTGGAATGATAGGTGTGCTTTCCATGTCAAGCTCAAAGAGCATCCTTGCTTTTTGTGGAGTTTCTGTTTATTTCTGCTGGTGTACTCAGCATGTGTATGGACATGTTCAAACTCATGTAAGGACGTGCCTGGAGTAATGCAGTACAAGGACAAAAATTTCTTACCTGAATTGTAATCAAGGGGTACTGAAAGAGGAAAAAACAGAATGGAAGAAGATATTAGGTTGCTGATCAAACACAAATTATTTTTCCTCAGGACTGTGAAAAGTATATAACCAATATTCAGTATAATACCATTAATCAGAGGTCCTCATATCTTATTTCAATCAGTTTAACAGCAATTTTACTTCAATAAAAAGCTTGCATAAAGGAGAGAGATGAAATGAGAATGGTGGGGCTGTTTCTGACCATACTGGTTTGAGTGCAGTCTCAGAGTACAAGTGAACAGGGTTACAGAGGTGCACACAAACCATGATTTGGGCTTCTTTTTAGCACCAGCTCTTTTGCTATCACTGTGCTGTCTCCTGCATTACAAGTGCAGGAGAGGAGGCCGGTGAAGACCCTTACATTAATTTCCTTATGCATTATGAGCATGAAGAGAGTTTGCTGGCAGTGGAAAGAAGCCCTCTGAAGAGATAAATAATTGTGGCAGCAACTTGCTCTTTAATTTCCCCCATTTCTAAAATGGGCAAAATGCCAGGTGGATGATTTACTGATGCCTGCAAGCAACATTTGCTGAACTGTGAGAGCAGGAGGCTGTACCGTGGGCTTTCTGGTCAGATCTAAGATAATGTCTGTGGCAACAAAGTGGAGGGGGTTTTGAGCTCCTTTCCAGCGACCACAGAAGGTGTTGAGTCAGGAATTCAATCTGCTAAACACTTGCCTTCTTCCCTGTGACTCTAATGAAAGGGTGGATTACAGCATGTGCTTAGGAAATCAGGTTAATTCTTTGGCATTTAGTCTCTGCAACAACTCATTTTAGCCACAGCAATCCTTTATGTAAAATTTGAGAAGTTGTCTCCCAGCAATTTTAAATACAGGGGAGTATTAATGGTCACTCACCTTCTCCTGAACAGGTTTAAAATTGAAATCCAGGGCAACAACACGAAACCTCACTGGAAAGGCAAGGAACGGGGTGTTAACATTGATCATAGTTTGTTTGGCTGAACATAATATTTTGCATTCATTAGTACTCCCAGTTTCACAGGGTCTTCCAACAGTCCTGCTTGCACAGGATGCACATAATAAAATGCATCTGAAGGTAGAACAACCCTACACAGACTTTGATTAAGGGTCTTTTTCCTAGCATCAAGTCCTTGTACTCTTTCATAAAAGTTTCCTTTAATGTTAGCAATGAAAAGTCTACTTTCATTAAACATCACAGAAAGGAATGACTGAACAAATAAGAACTGCATTACATTTTCATAATTTGATTTTTGTCTGCTGCTTGCCCCAGCTCAATACCAAGCTATTTGACCAATAAACAACCCATATTGGACACCTTGGTGGCACCAAATTCCAAATGGTAAGCTTTTTTTCATACTATGTATCTATGTAGATAGAACTGACCCTAATTAAAGTAAAACTAATCTGTCTAATGGCTGCATTATATGACTAATATCTGGGAAGAAGTCTTCTTCTGCTGTTTCCCTACAGTGTGGGCTAGAAACCTTAAAGCCTAGAAATTAATTGAGGAATGGATCTAGAAAAATGGATCTCTGCTTTATGGCCATCTGAGAAGCATGGATAAGGGGAAAGTGTAAGTGCAGGAATACAACACAAGAATCTAAAGTCCAAACACCTCGGAGGCAGAAGGTAAATAGCATGATTTTGTCTTTAACAACTTATATTTCATGTCAGAGTAATAGATTTCACTCTGTTTGGTCTATTTTGATGCTGACCAGCACCGCAGAGGGAAGAATTATTTTATGCCAGGTATAGATCTAATCACCTCTTCCCACTATCCTGGCCTGTCATCAGTAATGAAACAGCAGCAGTGATAGCTTATGTCACCTGGGAGGAAGGGACAAATAAAATGACAGAGATCATGGAATGACAGTCTCCTGACATCCTGAAGATGATTCCCTAAGCTCCTCAGCAAAGAACTGTAATAGTTTTAACAAAAACTGTGAAGAAACTACCTAGAATGTAGCTCAGCCTGAAAAACACCAGACAGAGAAGTTCTGTCTGAAGAAATAGCCTCCTAAGGCCCACATTATAGACAAAGTGGACATTCACCAGTCTGTCCTGGTTTGTAGATGGGTTTGTCTGTCTGCACAAAGACGATGCTGTCTGCGTTCCAGATCATCACTGAGCGCCGCTCCTCCAGACGGATGGTGGTGCCCTTGGCAGAGAAGGAAATGAATGCCAGTGGTGTGGAGTGGACAGGAGGTATCTGTGAAGAAACAGGAAAACACGAGGAGGTGGTTAGTCTTGAAGTAATTTGCTCCAGAACCTGTTGAACAGCAATATCTGTGGCCTGGGCTCCTGCGTGACACAAGCTCACTTCTACCAACTCCATCACCTTTCTTGGGCTTTATCTTATTACTTATGCATACAAAAAATGCCTCCTGGTTTGTTACTGTGTTATTCTCCTATGCTTCCTTTTTCCTTTAACAAGTCTTCCTTCTTCCCCTGTCTGTTCCTTTCCTGTGCTCCCTTCTTTAATTTTCTTGTCCCTGTTTACATTTCTTTTCCATGGGAACATAAATTAAAATTAACTTACCTTGAACTTGAAGCATTGTAGACCACTGCTTTCTGTCATGGTTTTATTAAAAATAGTGGTATTAACAGAGCTGTATTCCAGGATTGCTCTGATGGACACTGTCTCGTTGAGGTTAAGGAACTGCAGGCAAACCTGACCTGGAGAGTCATTTTGGAGGACAGCAGGCACCATCAGGACATACTGCCTGTGAAATCCAAACATCACAGTGATCACATTCATAGGTAAGGGAGAAACAGCCTCAACAGGATAAAGTGAACACCAATTACTTTAGATTAAATAGGACACACTGCCAGTGCTTCTCACTCTTTCTCAGCTCTGAACCAGCCCAGTCCTGGTACTGCCCACAGCTCCCAGCTCTTGCCCTTTTGCCCTTTATCTGAGCCCTGGGCCCTCCTGGTTTTGGCAAAGCACCCTGCTGTCACTACTGCTAGTGCCTTTTCTGGACACACGTCAACTTCCATGGAAGTTCTGCAATAGGTGAAGGTCAGATAGTATTAAATGAGAACGATTCACTTGCCATCCCCATTCCACTTTAGCTCTCCAGATATAAAATATGAGCCCTGGATTGTTAAATTTTTAGAGAAAAATTAATAATATTGATTAGCACTGTCTTTAAAGCCTTTTCACAAATTCTAATAGTAGTAATAGGGTGGTTCTTACGGCTCAGGCTCCTTTGCAGCTGTTACATGCCAGAGAAGAATAGCCAAAAGAAACTTCAGCCACATTTTTCTCACTGGGAGACAGAAGAAAGAGATAAGTTCTCTTCCCATGAAACAATTCCTTGCCTACTAGTTTAACAGCTCTGCAGCATTCCTCATCCAGTGCTCCAGAGGAAAGGAGTTTGCTCTTCAACTCCTCCCTGGCTCCTTCCTTTGATGTTAGTGCCTTTATAACTGCAGCAAGGGGTGGAGATCCCAGTCTATCCTATTCCTTGCAAGAACCTCCCCTAACACTACTGCAACCAAAATTCAACCCACCATCTCCAGACTGTAACATTTCACTGCACTTCTCTGAATGTCTGCACAAAATACCTTTAGTGGACTTGTTTTCAAGGAAAGGGGCTTTGGGTTTTACACTGAGGCTTGTCACAGAACTGAAAAGCACAAAGTGACGCAAACCCGAGTAAGTCTGTCAAACCAGATTAACATTTGAGGGTTATCCCCATTGTTCTTGTAATTTACCCACTGGATTGACAGTCTAGGTAAAGTAGAGCAATTTTCTATACTTTGTCACCAGATTCTGGCTAAAATAATACACTGACCTCTCTTTTCCCTTGCTTCATAGGTATTTTGAAAATTGACTAAGTGGAAAATAGAGAAGCTAGAAACAGAAAGAGATCTAAAAAGTCTTAATTACTTCTACCTTAGCCATTGAGAACATGACAGCACCGTGGAAGTTTGATTTCATTTCAGCTTGGAATTAGCCAGTTGCTGGGTCTATGGGAATTTGTTAGTTCCCCAGGTTTCCAGTTTTCACACCTGTGTAGAAGCTAATGGAGTTTTTTATTAGGGAGAAGGAAGTTCTTTTGTTCTTCTGTACTCTGAAGAGAAAACAAAGCACTCAGGTGGGCTGCTCGCCACAAGAAAAACAATGCTGGAGAGCAGTTATTTGAAAACTCTAAATAATTTTTTTCAATTAATATTGGTACTGGGTCTGTCTGTCATGAGGTTATGAAGTCAGCTTTCTCCACAGCAGCCTGCTGTGCTCTGCATTTGAGGCTAGAACAGTGTTCTTAACTCACCAGTGTTTTGGCTCTTGTTAAAGAGTGCTTGCAGAGTGTCTGGGCTTTCTACCTCCCCCACCTCCCAGCCAAAAGCCAGGGGGCTTGGGGTGGGCAAGGGACTGTGAGAGGCCACAGCCAGGACAGATGACCCAAACAGGCCAAAGGAATATTCTGTACACACCACATGACACCATGCTTAGCAAAAACAGGTGGGGGAAAGGAGGAGGAGGGACATTTGTGGTAATAGCATTTGTCTTCTGAAGCAACCACTACCTTTACAGAGGCCTTACTTCTTGGAGTGGCTGGATATCTGCCTGCCAAGGGGAAGCAGTGAATAAGTCCCTCTTTTAGCTTCTCTTTCATGTGCACCTCCTGCTTTCCTTTTTAAACTGTTGTTACTTCAACTCATTTGACTAAATTCTAGTTTCCTTCTTGGGAGTGAGTGAAAGATTGGGTGGCTGATTGGCTGCCAGAGAGATATGTTTCCAAGGACAGAGTACCTGTATGGGACCATGATTTTCTCTAATATCCTGATATCTTTTATGACTTTCTCTTTTAGTTTCTTGCTAGTCTGTGAAAATTTCTTCAATAGAAACATAGGGCACATAGAGTGGCTATGACATGTTCTCCCTTATGACTTCTAATTCTTCACAGAAGTATCAAACCATGTGGAAGTGGAACATGCCAGAAGAAGCAGATGGCTCCCCAGAGGTCTCTCTGTGGCATGGTGTGGGTGCTTAGAACACAAACAACAGAGTGAGGTTCTGTTCTGAAAGCCCACCTCACTGTTGTTTCTATTGCAGAGGATCTCTACAGATTTTACAGTTGAGGAGCTTCCCTAAGGATCAGGTATTATTTTCTCTGCAATGGAATACCCACACCAGCAGCTGCCAAGAACAGAAATTCACTGACAAGGGCTTGAACTTGAGCTGACATTGTGGAAAAAGGAGATGACCAGTACTGCAGGTTCTTGCTTTTCTTGGCTTTCTGAGGCAGTTACAAACTTCTTGCAACTTATTGCAAGTGTTCATTCCAAACAAGTCAATTTGCTAGTCATCACAATCCAGAAACTTTCTGAGTCTACTTTTGAGCGTTTAATCAGAGGTTTGAGTGGGTTAGGTGACATCCAAAGGTATACAGAGAAGGGTGGTTGTGTGTAACTTACTGTTATAACGAGGAGACATTTTGCCCCAAATTCAGGCTGGATTGTGGCTTTGGTCAGAAAGTGCACTGTTGTATCTCCAAGAACTGGCACTAGTCACGATGTCTTCTGTGCACATATAGCTTCTGAACAGTAACCAAATGAAGGACAAAGATTAGCCATGAATCCTATACCCAGGTCATCCACTGCACTAGTTCAAAACCTCCACTAATCACAGTGAAGAAGGTGCATCTGGTAAGGAAATAAACAAAAAATGCAATAATCTGTAATAGAGAAGCTATTGAATTAATAGGTTGGCAACCAAACAAGTCTCCTGGATGAAAAAAATACCCACTGTAATCTTATAACAACAAAGGAAAACAGAGGCCATCCCATCTTCTTGGCTATAGCATATAATAACTTGTCTTCCACAGGAGAGTCAAACAATGTTCCATTGGACACAATAAAAAGGTTGTTTTCAGGGCAAATTTTTATGAAACCATTGACATTTGTTTTTCATGATTTTTTTTATCATTATTATTTGTTGACTGCATGTCTTTGCTTTTCAAATCCTACCCATTCTTTCTAACTCAACTGCATATGTTCAAGAAGCTTGTGAAGATTGCTCTGTGGGGAAGTCAGAGAGAAGAAACCTCATCACCAGGTCAGTATTTCATAGAATCATGGAATGGTTTGGATTGAAGGGGACCTTAAAGATCATCCAGTGGCAACCCCCCTTCCATGGGCAGGGACACCTTCCACTAGTCCAGGTTGCTCAAAGCCCCATCCAGCCTGGCCTTGAACACTTCCAAGGATGGGTCACCCACAGCTTCTCTGGGCAGCCTGTGCCAGTGTCTCACCAAGTTCACAGTAAGGAAATTCTTGCTAATATCCAATCTAAACCTGCTCTCTTTCAGTTTGAATCCATTCCCCCTTGTCCTGTCACTATATGGGCTTCTAAGTAGTCTTGCTCCATATTTCTTGTAGCTTCAGGCACTGGAGGAGGTTCTTGGTTTTGGGTAATGTTGGAGAAATGTCTGTATGCAGACAGATTATCTTGAATTCTTGACTCAAAAGGAGGCTTTTGCCAGCCCAGCTTTGAGTGTTAACAGAGCCATAACTTCAGACCTCAGTTACTTGTGCTTAGTTGTAGCACACAGAGGGAGATTTGTGTGTTTGTAGGTGGAGAGCAATGAGAGGGAACCTTGGCAACAGCAGAATGAGCTGTTTGATTTAGTTGAATTTGATAGAGTTATCTTTGTTAAAAAATGCCTCACCAACTAAGTACAGGTGTCTTTCTGCCACTGACACAGTCCTGCTGCTGCTGTAGTTAGACACCACAAATGGTGCCTTTATGGTTGTGGTTTGGTTTATTTGAGGCATTAGATATGTTCTACTAGTACAAGGTTATATTTACAAATAAAATCTGTCTTGCTGTGAAAAGCTATAGTAATACTACTCAACTGCAATTAATTTTTTTCATATAGGGCTGCTCACTCACAGTAATTTCTGTGTCTTTCTGTGTGATTTCTTGACCTCAAATTTCACTCACTATTACTGAAAAGAGCTGTGTTTCTCTCCTGTGGGAATCCTCAAATGGTTTTAGGAAAATTACAACAGTCTCTGGAGCTCCATGTTTTTTTTCCTGTTTTTGAAGAATTTGTGGCTGCTAACACTTCATATAATTCTAGTACTCCTTCTCACTCATGCAGTCTAAAGCAAACTTGGATGTGTCTGCAGGATCTGTAACCATATATTTGTGGTGTAGGCACTGTCAGCTTGTGAATGGGTTAATTGCTGCATTCAGAAGAAGATTAACACAAAGAAACTTGGTCATTACAGCTACAAAAATTAGTTGAAAAGCACTGAATCAATCTGTGATTTTGGCTGTGACTGCTTCCTATAAAACCATCTTTAAGAGGATTAGATTGTAACGATTTGTTTAGCCATAGTAAAGGTCGAAATGCTTGGTTTGGCCCAGGTGTTTGGGGAACAATGCTGAAACACGGTAACTGCAGATAAAGTTCTACTTGGTCAATAGGGTCTCTAGTCAAGCATGCAAGATTGCTTTCATTGTTCTAAGATATGTGAGCCTTGGCAAAGTTCTCTAGCAGCTAAAAGGATGGTGAGGTCATAAAAGAAAATATGTATATCCCTAGTGGAACAGTCACAGCTTGCAGTGATTCTGATGAGTGATGGAATTTCTTTCAACAAAATGTGGTGGTGGGGAGGACTCAAGTTTATTTCAGTGGTCAGTGATACCTGGAAAAGGCAGCCATATAAAAGATGAAGGTAGTTGAAGGTCAGCCACTTATTTGTAAGGTTTCAGTGACCATGTTGAGTGTGGATGGGTCATCCATAACCTGTTTTCAAAACAGAGACATTTCTCCACGTGTATGTAGAGGCTGAGATCTGAGCAGGAATAACTGTGAGCTAAAGAATTAAACCTGCCTTTGCTGTGCAGTTTTGGTGACAAATGCCAGTGAAACCTGGAATCTGACTACTGCCACCTACACATGCCTCAGAGTAGATACTATGGATATACAAATGAAATTATCTTTCCTAGTTATACACAGATTACCTCACAGCTTTCAGGCTAAACTAAATGCAGTACTATAGTTAGGCTAATAGGACAGTTTGCATTTCTTTTGGGAGTGCTTTGCAGTTTTACTGTCCTTGCATGGACAAGAACTAGAGTTTTTCAGCCCTCCTTTCTTTGTGGTCTTTATAGGCAGCATCAAGGGTTCAGTGCAAATGAGAAATCACCAAGAAAATATCTGAATAAGCCCCTCAAAAGATCTCTGGTACTTAGTAAATTCATTCTTCACACTTGAAAATATAAATCAGGTTTTTATTAACGGGGAAAAAGAAAGTACTTAACAATGAGTATCAAGTGGGGAACATTTGACATGTAATTTATAAAATATAACAAGATGGGAGAGCTAGTCTGGCTGCATGTTCCCCCAGAACCTCCCATGCCAGCAATCAGCTCATGACTGGTACTGAGAAATGATCTTGTGTACCAAGAACTGATGTGAGATGCACATGATGTTGTCATGTATTGGCTTTTCTGGCTACCAGAAGGGTGCCTGAGACCAGCCATCTCTAGCATGCTGAGGGATGCCCAAATCATTCTCTGACCTTTTCACCTCTGATCAGAAACCCCTAACCCTTTGTTTCCCTTTCACAGCTGTACACAACTATCCTCACTTTGTAGCTGCAACTTCTGCAGCATTTGGTAGAAGCATTTGCTTTAATTTCAGGTGACAACTCATAACAGGCATATGTAGAAAGAAGCAGCTCACTGAGGCTTTCATATTGCTTTTCTCTGCTTTATGGAAAGACTGTTTTAAAATTTAATTCTGCAGAAATGACTCATTGTAATGACACATTTGTAAGCGTTTGAGGCTCCATTAGTCCCTCTTATTTTCTTCTCCTTCCCTCCATCAGCTTAGAGTGGAACACCCTTCCCGGGCTGGTTATTCTTCTTCTCTGGATTGACTGGAGAAAGGTCATGCAGTTCTGCTTTCCCTTAGGAATTCAGCCATCAGCTACAGTTCCTATAAAAGTTTTACTGAGGTAATCATACCTCTAAAGTCTTTTCCTGCAGTTTCAGGCACTGTTGACATGAGAGACTTGAATCACCTGAACTGCAGGTTGGTCTGAGAGAAGAGAACTACAGAGGAGCAATGTTTTTGTATGTCTTTGGATTCAGCTTTATGGGCCAAAGGAAATTTCTTGGACATATTTTTGGTGGAAATGCTGTGTGTCTAATCCAAATGCTCTGAGAAAGGAAGGGTGGATCTCACTTCAAGGCTGTAAAATGATGTTATCAGAACCAAGAGTTCATAGGAGATGAATGCAAGACATAAGACTTACATCTTGTAGTGCAGGGATTACCTCTTCTCATTTCTTTGAAGTCTGTCTTCAGTGTAGGCATGATACTGCTATGACTTGAATGGGGAAGAGAGCTCGGGCTTAGGAGTCTGTCACAGCTGGCTGATAACACTAAATGTTGGGGGGGGGCTGACACTAAATGTTGTTGAGTACTTTGATCTTTTTGCCATTGACCAACATCTTGCTTCTAAATCCATTTTTTTGTTGTTACAAAGAATTTTTCTTTCCACCACGACATCCCAGAAATTGAACTTGTTCCAGACACATTATGGAAGGCGTGCAAATGCTATTCAGAGCCTGCAGCTTTCTCTCCCTTTATCTGTTATTATTATCTACTTGGCAGCAAAACAATACTCTTGTGTTACCTGATATATTAATTGCACCACTTTAAGGATGCCCCCCAGGGAGAGCCTGTTTGTGCCTTCAACCCCTGACCTTATGCCTGAAAAGTTTTTTGATTCATTCCCCTCACATAAAGGCTATTTCTGCTTTGTCTCCAGTGAAAATATATTCTGCAGCTATATATTGAACTGCTGAGCACTGTACAGAGCAAGCTGGAGGATGTGTCCTTGATGAAGACTTGTCAGTCTTTATTATCTTTTATTATCTTCCTAAACAGCTGAGGTTGCCAAGTTGTCTCAGGGCAAACAAGCTGGCCCCAGGCAAAAAGGGAATAAGAGAAAGTCCTGATTGCCCTCTTCTGAAGAACTAGGGGGTTTTGTTGCTATTGACCCATAAATGAACAGCACTAGGCAAAACTGTCTGCTGGAGAGTGCTGTGTGGAAATGAGGGAGTGACTGGAGCATCACATCCATGTCTAGTGTCACTCATAGTTGCTCACACCACAAATGCTTTGCTATTACACAAAACAGTGTCAGAGTCCTGGCAGTTTATACCTCTGGGAAAGACTTCCAGAGCCTGTCCTGGCACATTCCCATGGACTGCAGCAGATGGGTGCCTTAGGAACTGCACCTTTTTGCTGTTCATTTTTTAGCTTTTCACTGAAAGTGAAAGGGGAGACTGATCCGTGGTAATTTTAGAGTTCTAGAGCATCTTTCTAACTACAGCAAACAAAGAAAACTGGGTGTAAACGCATTTGCCATTTTTGGAGATGGGATACAGCCCTCACCATTTTCTCATTGATTCACATGGTCATACAAGCTCGGTATCTGAAGCTCCTTTCAATTGTTACATCTTTTCATCTGACTTGCATTGAGGTTAAGCAAACTGAATTTGTGAAGCAGAGCAGCCTCACATGATGCAAGCTCTATGAGAGCAAACATTGGGTCACTAGTTGCACTGCAGTTAAAGGAGTTAAAGAGGCAAAAGAAGGCTGTAAAATGCAGATTTTGCTAGGTACTGCTGGTATTGTTCCATCCACTCCCTCTCAACCTAGTGTTTTGGAAATCTGTGGTAAAATTTAAATGCTGTGCTTTTGAAAGCATCTGCATTTCATATCAGTTTCCATCTGACCAGGCTTGCAGTTGGCCATTCACTGGAATGGCATTAAACAAAGGCTTTTGTTTAGCAGCAGGCTGAGTTTACACAGCTGAGGAAGGTGGATTGAAGTAGCCTGACTGACCTCTCTTGAAGCTCACACAATCTTTTTTGCTGACAGGGATGGGAGAGCAAGGGGGAGTTTGGGGTCACTTGGCTCCTTAACATCTTCAGAGTCATGACTTACTTCTCAGCATGTGTCTGTCTGTATCAAAAGTCACCACAGGTCTCATGCAAACATGGAAACATTGCTTTAAGTGTGACTTTTTGGGTCAAGGGTTGTGCCCAGGGATTGCTTCTGATGGGAAGAGAAATACTGGGGATTGAAGCTCAGTGTTTTGAGCAGAATTGACAGACTTGAAAGCCACTCATCTCACAACATCTTTTCTCAAAATGGCATTATTTTTTTCACTAGGTAGAAATTCCACCAGAATTCTCAGGGAAGAAACTATTCTGTTTCTTGGTAAACTAAGTTTATATGCAACTTAAGGAAAAAAAAAGAAATAAGAAAAAAAGCAAAAAAAAAGCAAAAAAAAAAAGCAGATAACTCCATTCCCTTACTTTTGTCCATCCTAAGGAGAATAACCAGAAATATACATGGCACATGTGCTCATAAATGTTGTTTTATGCATCCAAGTGCCTCTTCAGGCTCTCCTGCACGCACAGTGATACCACGTGAAAAGCTGCTCTCTGCCTGATGCTTTCACATGCCAGGTGGTGCATTTAGAGAGCTGAGAGAATCAGGGCATGGGGCCAGGTTCTCAAGGGTGTTAAGGCACTTAGCTCACATCAGCCAGAATCTAAATTCACAAAGAACCTTAGGTTCCTATGTCAAATTCCTCATCTGTTTAGAGCAACTCTCTAGCTGCTTCCCAAGGTTTCCTGGGTCCTGGTGTTGCTGAATTGCTGAAATCTGCTTTTTTTTGCTGGACCCCAATGCCAGACTCTAGCTGATACACCCTTCTGCCAGTTAGTTTCTGTTGGGCAGTTCTTAGAACAGGAGACTGAAGTTGGTGTTCTCCCCGGGTCCTTCCAAACCAACATTCATGTTCTCCCACAGCTTCCAAATTTCTTTTGCATCCTTCTGGGATTACACTGAGCCTGAGGGGTTCTGTCACAACTTCCCACTGTCACAGAGGTTCCTGCACTGTGAGGGAGGATTAGTTCCACTTGAGCTATCTCTGAGCAAGCCTAACATCCTACTGAACACTGCTCTCCTACCATATCCTGCACGGTTGTGTTCATCCATCTCTAGATAAACCAAGGAGCAAAGACTGGGACAAACACCATTGCCAAGCAGAATGTTTTATTACAAAGGGCAGTAAAATATGAGGTGCTAATCTGAAGAAAATATGTCTTTCTAGATAGAGGCAAAACTTGCACAGGAGTTGTCTTCCTGGGATTAGAATTCTGTCATCTGTAGATGATTCAGTTCAATTGCTGAAAAAGGTAAGGATCAAAGTAAGTTCTTCAGGATTTTCCTTCTGGACAATGGAAAGACCAAAACAAGTAAAATCTGCAGAAGCAGCAGTACATTATTCTCTGAGATTATAATTTCTTAAGAGGAATCTACAGCCCAGAGCACATCTCAAGCATTTACCTTTACACAAATCTCCCACTGGAATATGTAGTGAGTTTCAAAACAAGAGGGGTGGTCAGAGTCAACAATTGCACAGTATCTCCTTTGTCAGGAAGAGGACTTTATCTGCAGTTTCTAATCCACATTGACCCCAATTCTCTTTGAAGTGTGGGTCATTCTGATCTACAGCAATATGGGATTTGCTTATTCCTCATTATTCTACATGTTTTTCATTGTGCTTCCAGAAAAAAAACAAGCCTCTTATCCTCTTCTTGTTCTAAAACTGCTTGCCTGATAATTTTTGAATCATTACCTCTTCTGGCACACATCTGATTTCAGCTGGAAGAAGGGGAGCAGGGTGTGTTGTACTCTGAAAGGGCATATTCATCTGGAAAGAAGAAAGGAAGAAGACATTTGTATGAGAGTGAGAAATCATTCTGACCCCTGTATGTCTGCACCTTCCATTAACATGCTACAAAACAGAAGACATTTGATAAATTTTGTGGTAGACTCCCAGTTGTCAGGGCACCCAGTTGCAGGGCTCCCTAGTCAGAGACCAGTGTGCTCTGACCACGTTTGCCAGGACACATCACTGCTGTCATCATGTAAGATGTGGATCAGGTGGCAGAAAATGCACTCCAGGGTCAATTCTCTGACTGCTGCTGCTGCTCCTAATCTGCTGGGATGCAGTTCAAGCAAGGTTGTCAGGCATTTATTTTTCTAGTTCTAGTTACTTAAACTCCTGCTAAGTGGGACTGTCATTCCTACTTAAGTACTTGAAATCCACTAAAGATCTTTTTGCTGAAGCTTGCTGTGGCAATATTAAGTAAAAAAAAAAACAACTAATGCAGTTCAGGTAAATCAGGAACACTGCTGCCTTTGAGTTATTGATTTTAACCATCATGTCCAAACTGTGGAAAGAAAGTGGAACCACATGTCTTTTTGTATGTGTTTTGTAAGGGAGAAGTTCTCATGTATCACTTTCTTATCTGCTTCATGTTGAAATGAAGCAAGAAATGTAAACACAGGAGAGCTGGAACTGTTTCTGCTCTGCAAAACCATTGCAGTCTAGTAATCAAAAGCAGCAGAATTGCTAAGTGGGTGTCTCCTTGTCTCTCCTTTGTCACAGGTTCTACAGAGGCCTGCTGGGTCACCTACCTGTTTCATAGTAATCATATATATGTACAGGCACTGGTTTGATGTCTGACACAGCCAGGCTTTGCTCCACACCAAAGGAGAAGCTGATTTCCTTCTGAGAGACCTGGAAATGGCAAGACAAGAAGATGCATCAGAACTTTTCATAGCTATCCCTGAGGCTTAGGTTGAACAGATTCATTTCTGAATCAGACTGTGTGACAATGTGCCATTCTACATTTCCCTCCAGTTTCTAAACTTGATGTTAAATCAGATAATTGTTTAAAGGCTGTTGCTAAATATGTTTTGTTGCTAAAATTGTGCGCTCTTTTCTTTCTTCCTCTTCCTATTTCCATTGCCAATTACCCCAACTTAATTCCCTGTCAGTGTGGTTTTCAGCACATCAGCATTCATTCTGCAATCAAAAATTGCTGTTAGTTTCTTTCTTTGCCTTTTCCCACCTAAAAGCACCTTCAGTACCCATAAGAATCTTCTCCCTACTTTTCTCCCTTTAATTACTTTGATGGCATTATCTCCATTATCCCCTGTGATGTTGGATTGAATAAAGTACCTCTTTAAGGCATGGGTATTGTTAATATGCTATTAATAAGATTTTTCTTTTATCTGGGAGCCTGTATTTAACTTCCAGTTTAATAAAACTGAAAGGAAACCCCCCAAACTTACCTTCTGAAGGTAGAAGAGTATGTGGTTGTTCTTGATGTCTACACGATCCACAACAGAATTCTCGTCCCGAAGCTTTAAATAAATCAAAATACAGAAATGTTAGCACGGGGTACTTGCCAAGGAGACTTAGAGATTCCACAGAAAAATACATTCCAAGTGGTTGCCGTGCTCCTTTTATGCCACCCCGCCATCTAGCCGCCAAAAAACGAAATGCAAGTTGAGTGTTTTTATAACCAGTCACAGTGATAAACAATTCCACCAGACAGCTTTGGTACTCGCCACTTTCATCATCAGCCTAAGAATTCTTTCATTTCAGAGAGAATTTGCAATTAATTTCTGCATCTCAAGTTGACTCACTTAAAGAAAAGCTTAAAAACATTTTAAAGAGAATGTCAACAAAATTATTTTAATATCAAAATATACAAAGCTGAAGTATCCCAAACTTTAAAAACCATCTATTTTTCCCGAAGTGTAGATGAAGAGGAGTAGGATGCCAAACAGAATAGCATCTCAATAGAAAAAAAATATTCCAAAGAAAATTAATGAATTTTATATAGCTCTAGCCAAAAAAATTCAGGCCTGAATGCTGAATGATTATAAGTACAAAAATGTATGAGCAGACTCTACAAATAATTTCATTATTTTTTTTATCTACTTGAATATTACAGCTCACGAAGGGAACTCATCTACTGTGAACCTAAATTGTATTGGGAACCTCAGTGAGGTGCATATCAGTGTTGTGCCCAGAACTGTCATCATCATAACCACATTTCTGGATAGTAAAGGAGGAGGATCCATAACCTCCTTGTTTTGGTTGTTTGTTAAACTGTACTGCAGAGGAAGAAACAACCCTTGTCAAGGGGATAATAATGCAAAATGCCAATTAAAGCAATTTAATTATGGCAGAAGTATTTCTCACACAGATTCTGTTAGGCCATGCACACAGACACTGAGGAGCACAGGGACCTGGGACCTGAGCAGAGCCACTGGAGCACTCTGACCTGCTTCCCCTTGGGGCTGCCACAGGGCAGTGACCAGCCCATTGTCAGAGTGTGAGACCCACCAGGGGAGTCAAGAGCAGAATATCCCTGGGTCACCTTGCAGACTGAAGGGGAATGCTGCCCACAGACCACGGGGCTGAGTATGGGATGCTGGCACTCATGAAAGAGTTATTACAGGGTGTTTAGGGGAAGAGCCAGAAGTAACAAAGAGAAGGATAAAATCCAATTGGAAGGAAAAGGGGTGAAAAATGAGATAAAATAGGCCAATTGTGCATGAACAGATTAGTGGTCAGCACACTTGTCTGCCCTGCATCTGATCACAACAACCTCTCCTGCCTTCTTATTAATCTCTGTTCCTGGCAATTTTCCAGGGTAAAAGGCTCTCTATTCTGCATGAACGTGTGTGTAGGGAGTGCAAATCACTGAAGAGAGGATCAGAGACCACAGGGACAGTGTGCCTGCAGTGCCAGCATCCTGAGACACCAGTTTCATGCTTGGAGTGGCATGTATGTCAGCGTGTGGTCACTGGTGATAAACTGGAATAGCAGCCAGCTTCTGAGGCAGGCATCAACCCCACCCAAATGTTGGAGACACCAGGGGATCCAACAGCTACCAAAGGGACCAGGATGTCCAAACCTTTTTCTGGAGAAACCATACAGTCTTGGAGGTGGACATTGGTCTGGAGCAGGTAGTGGAGAGTTATTTGCATGTCTGTGTGCATGAAACCAGGCGACCCCAGCTCATCTGCTGCATGTTTAAGAATGCTTATAGAGGCCCTCACCATGCATACATATGGGTGATGGGGACCTCAGTTCCAGGCCCTGCAGTGGAGGTCAGGCCTTGAAGGAGGCATATGTCCAGGTACCAGCAACTCCACAGAACAAGGGCCCAGGGACAGCTGTGGGCAGACTGAGTGCCTGAGGCCAGCTACCATAAGGAGCCACATTGTGTATTTGCATGTATTTGTATGTATGTATGTATTTATATATTCATTTATCTTTTCCACAAACGAGATTTTAATCTGGTCAGGCAGAAAAGGGAACAGGATAAGGCCATTTGTGCTATCTGTGTTTGTGGAAGTGCTGTCTTTCCTGTCATCTGTGTGGCACCTATATCATGTATACATGGATATATATGTGTAGTGTGCATGGCTGCTTATTGGGAATATGCACTGAACTTTGCTGTTGGTTGGACCTGGGGATGTGAAGTCTTAGCTTTCCTGGGCTACTGGATTTGGCAGTTCCTAACAGATTTGTCTTCAGCACATAAACAAATTTGAAACACGGTGTATGTGAGAGAAGGCTATGCCCAGGGACATTGAGTATCCTTATGGGCTCATAATTGCTAATCAGAGACTGTGTTTATCAAATTCCTGTGCTTTTAGGCTTTATCATTCACACTGGTCCCATTTGTTACCTTTTTCAGGGAAGATTCTTCAGGAACAAATCCTGAGAGCATTTTCACATCAATAATAGCCATGTTGGAGACGCTGCGGTTTCCTGTGTAACTAAAATGAGAAAAGTTCTGTTAGTCTGGTCTGCAAATGGAAAGGAGACCAGTGAATGACATTTTTAGCTCCCAGAAATCCTGTTTTTCTTCCTACAGCTGCAGAGCAGCAGTTAACTGCCTGTACTTAGATCCTTTCTTGGGTGCTTTACCAAACTGTGAATGCAAGGGGGATAGGCCAGCAAAAGGAAGTTACCTGGCAGAGAGGACAAGGTCAAACCTTGGTGGATAGTTGCCTGTGCAAGACACATTTGCTGTCCTTACAGACAGAGAGAATCCTGCAGCTTTTTTTGGCAAATGGATGTTGTATCTCAGGGTGGTCTGAAAGAGATAGAAAGTGTGAGATGGTCACAGACCTAAAGGAGACCACGGCATATGGAGAGGAATAAAGCATGGAGAGCCCACTGCTTAGCTCCCAGAGGATGGTGCTGAGTTCCCAGCTTGCTTACCTGCAGATAGACACAGCCAGTGCCATTCACCTCCACACTGTAACTCCCTGGAATAGTGGGCAAGGAAGTCTGCTGCAGTAAGAAGCGGTTCTTGTCATTCACCTGGAAAATCTTACTGGGGGTCTCCATGAAGTGGACTTTGACTGTATTAAGACTGTTTTTGGAGAAGGTGAGATATCCGTACTGGGCTAAAGCTTGGAGAGCAACCACAGTGTCCTGAAAAGAATAACATGGTCCCAAATTAGATATGAAGGTGTGTGGGATTAATGCAGCTCCTATTTCCCCAATGCTTTGTCAGTACTCATAAATGCAGGGGGGCTTTGCAAAGAGCCAAGGAGACAAGACACAAGTTCTTGTAGAACTCGTTCTGGTGGACAGAAAGCTGTCCCTGAGCCACCAATATGCTCTGGTGACAGAAAGGTCCATCTGAGGTGCACTAGGAAGGGCTTTGGCAGTAAGTGGAGGAGATGATCCTGCCCCTCTGCTCAGCCCTAGGGAGCTGTATCTGGAGTCCTGTGTCCAGTCTGGGCTCCTCAATACAGCAGACATGGAGCTCCTGGAGCAGGTCTAGAGGAGCATCATGACAAGAATGATTAAGGGATTGGATCATCTCTTACAAGGAAAGGCTGACAGAACTGGGCCTGTTCAGCCTTGAGAAGAGACAACTGAGAGGGGATCTCAGAAATATCTGAAGGGAGGGGGTCCAGAGGATGGATCCAGGCTCTTCTTGGTGGTGCTAAGCTATAGAAGGAGAGGCAAGGGGCAGAAACTGATGCACGGGAAGTTCCACCTGAACAGGAGGAAGTACTTTACTGTGCAGGTGACTGAGCACTGGAACAGGCTGCCCTGAGAGGTTGTGGAGTCTTCCTCACTGGAGATATTCCAGAACCATCTGGACACAATCCTGTGCTCTGTGCCCTAGGATGATCCTGCCTGAGCAGGGAGGTTGGAACAAATGGTCCCCTGTGGTCCTTTCCAGCCTGACCCATTCTGGATTCTGTGATTCTGGAGCAACAGATTTTAATTACCAAAGGAGACCTGGGATAAAGTCATGTCAGCAGTGACTGCTGTCCATGGATGACTTGGAATTCAGGTAAATTCTCATTGTTTAAAACCTAATTATGTGTAAAGCTATGAAGATCATGGTGTGCCTTTGACAAGGCAACCCATGCAAGCACCAGTATTATTCAAATCCATACACAGTCAGAAAGATTTGCCATTGGTCAAGGTTCAGCTTGCAGACTGTACTGCTCCAAGACACTTTCTTTTTACCATACCCAGTTGTTACCTGGCTGGAGGAAAAGCCACCATATGGGTTCTGTTGTTTGATAAGCCAGTACACAACACGGGAAATATAAGATAAGTCTTCTGGAGTGAGTTTGGTTCTGTTGAGCAGAGCCAGGAGCACATAGCTGGTCATTTCAACCTCAGCAGAGGGGGCACGTGAATAGAAGTCAGAAAAACGTTCTGCTGGTGGCTTGTTTTCTCTCTGCCAGTAAATAGATCCACCTGAAAACAGAGAAGTATGGTGTAAAAAGCATGGAAAAAAATTGAGTTTTTTTCAGATCTTGGTGTCCTGAACTAGGTACATTTTGCTTCTGAGCTGGAAAAGAAAACAGGAAGGGATGGAAAGGGAATTAATAAAAGCAGGCTGTATAAGACAAAGAGAGATTGAAGAGAAGGCACTTGACTTTTTGTAGAAGGATGCTAAGGCAATTGAAAAGAGGAGCACATGACACAGCCAAGGGAAGTGGGATTGTTCAGCATTACAAGAGGAAAGTAATCGGAAAATTAGGTACAATCTTCCAGTACCTTGGGCTGAGACATGCAGGGGACTCTCTCTCCCCCCTCCTAAATTATTTCAAAATTTCATAGATCAGATCACAGCTCAAATTTTTGTGAAGCCAAAAGAAACAGACAGAAAAACTCCTAGAGATAAACTCAGTAGCATAACAGGCATGAAGTGGGAAGGGAGAGCATTCATGACAAAAGTGTGCATCAGAGCAGCTGACATGATGTGACAGACCATCCCATCAGTGGCACTGCCTCTACCACGGCCATGTGCACTCACCAGCCCTGACAGCTGCCCCGTCCAGCTGCTCGAGGAAGAACTGGCGTCTTTCCTCTCTGCCAGCTAAGCCATAAACATAGGCAAGGAGGGCCTGGTTATACAGGTTGTGGACCCCACTGTTAAATGCAGTCTCCAGACAGTTCATGCCACTCCGAACGACAGGTTGCTGGTAATGCAAAACACAGTAGGGTGTCAGGTACCTGGATTTGTGTCTCCACACAATACCTTTTAAATACTTCCATCACTGTTTAAGCTGCAATCTCTGACTCTTCATATTAGAAATATACAGGATCCATTACATATTTAAGGGCCTACAGAGTGTATCCTGTAAAAAAATGACCTTCCACTCATGCTGTCTCCTTTCTGCATTTGTTTAGAGGCAGCATGGCCAGAATGAGAGAGCACTGTTTCTTTTCCTGACTCATGAGATGACCCTATTCAAGTGCAACCTTTGTCCCTCAGTTGCTTTAGCAATAAAATGTGGACACCATTTTTACAGAACTATGTAAAGTGTATTGAGACCTCATGATTAAGCAGGCTCTCTCAAATGCATATTGCTCATTTGCTAGCTGTAACTACCAAGGTAACTCTTCAGGCCTTTTAGCCTTATGGACTATCTCTGTGAACTCTTCTTCCTCTCAGACATCACCAGCACACTACTAACAATGTGGTCTCCCTGCAGCTTCCCTTAAACCTGTGGCACCAGGTTTTGGAGCTTCTTATGAAGATATTGGAAACTAAATTCTTGTTGCTATAGAACTATTTGATTCTGCACAATGTTTTCATCCTGTTGGTCTCGTGTACCTTGAGGATGGCCCATACCCCATGTCTGAGGGATGTTCAAAAAGCCAGCACATCTAGAACATGTCTGTCAGATTTGGAACAATTCTCCTCCTCCCCATCACATAAAGAACAAAGCATAAAAAGAAGGTCAGAAGGATATGCAGGAAATATATTACAGAGAACAGAACTCAGCTTGCATTTCCCCATGCCTAGTACTACAACCAGCATAGTTGTTTCCTTCCATTATTAAAGTTTCCATAGGGAAATGGAAGCACAACTTAGAACTAAATGTGCAAAGGGAGTTTGTAGATGGAAGATTTGGATAGCTTGAACTTTGGACTGGTCAAATTCAGAGAAAATTCCAAAGTGGACTCTGCATGGAGTGGGCCAGTTAGTCTGGATTTTGCATCTACTTAGACTACCATTGTCTAAAATAGCTGGATTCCTCAGAGACTTTTCAAGTGAATCCATGGGCACTGGATATGTAACTGATTTGTAATACTCATTAAAAACTTGCAGGGGATTGCAGGGCTCTGAAAAAGACTGTCTACAATCAACTACTGTCCTGCAATCAGTATAGGAGTTCCTCACTGGAAAATAATGCTGATGTGAGGACTGTGACTTGTGCAGTTTGACAAAGGGGTGACTGGGCTCACAGCACCAAATACCTACTGCAGCAGAGTGTCCAGCCTCCAGCAATGATGCCACAACATAGGCTGTGAGGGAGTATTCAGCTTCTTCTCCACCCTGATGAAAAACAAGCAAAGAACTGGTTAGGATGAATGTCCTGGAAAGAAACAACATATGAATTAATTCATAGTTATATATCAGTTATGTTTGAGATCAGCAGTAATTTCTGTCTCCATGTGTGCACAGGAGCAAGAAAGATCAAGTTCACACAGGATAAAGCCAAAGTAATTGACTGCATCTTCTTGACTTTTGTACATGTGTAATAGAGCAGACAATAGCTTGTGGCTGAGCACACAATTCAGTGGTGGAAAATAAAAAAACCTGAGACTTACAACTCAAAAAGTTCTACTTGCTTTTACCTCATCATCAAGAGCACACATAAGATTCATGCCCTGCTTGTATAGGAGAGACATGAGATAACAGTACTAGGAAGAGTAAAGGTGTGGTGAAGAGTAAGCTTGTGTCTTATCCAAATAAATCCATATGGCATGACTGGAAGTTTATGGCTATACTTATCTCAGTTACCTTCAAAGCATTGTTGAAATGTGATCCAGCATTTTCAAAGCAGCCATCTGACTTCTGCTTGCTTGCTAGCCAGATCAAAGTTTGAGACTGGACGTTGTCATCAATGTAGATGTAGCGTTTGGCTTGCTCCAGTGACTTGTACACAAAGGCAGTGAGCCTGCAGGTGATCCAGAAACAGAAAGCAGGTATGGTGTAAACAAGACCAAGGACATTTACCAGTGCATAGGATGTGCATAGAAAATGACATAAAAAGAACTTCATAATGTCTGAGGTAAAAGAAGAAAGTGTTTTCTAAGTTTTAAATAAATAATATACATAAAATCCTGATACTAAAAATTGACCGGATATGTCTCCATTACTGTGTTGAAACCATTCTTTTACAGCAGTGGTATAGACACAGCTTGATGATTGATGTTAGCAATTTCTGGTCTTAGTTAATTGAATTATGAAACAAACCAGGTTGGAAGGGACCTTTGGAAGTCTCCTGTTCAACCAGCCACTTAAACTAAGGACAGCTTCAGAGTTGTGTCAGGCTACTCAGTCTTTTGTCCAATCATGTGAAAGTCTCTAGGGATAGAGATATCCACATCCTCTCTGGACATTTGTCTCAGTGCAACTGTCTTCTCCTGGGGAAGATATTTAGCCCTTCTACCCACTTTGAGTTGTCTCTGTAGCAACTTGAGTAAGTACAAACTCTGTGCAGCTCCGACAAGAGTCTGACTGTATTTCCTCAGTCCCCATCTAGGCAGCAGCAAAGTTTACCCAGGTCTCCCTTTAGCTTCTTCTTCTACAGGCTAAACAAACCCAGATCCTTCAGTTTCCTGTTGAACATTATGTACTCCAGCTCCCAACCATCATGCTGCCCTTTTGTTGCCCTCTTTCCAGTTATTAATTTCTCCTTTACTAAGAGGTTCAAATTAATTGAACTATATTCATTTAGGCTATTAAAAATAAGAATCACTGAATACTTGGATCCTTTTTCAAAGCCTAAAGGTCCTGTGCTAAGGAAATAGAAAGTGTCATCACTTACCATACACTCCCTTCTCTATCTCGTAACCCAAAGGAGCTGTAGGATCCATCCCGGTGTTTGTATGATAGCTGTTTCTGGTAGCCTGGAGACACAATAAAGAAGACACATTTTCTAATCAATTTGTTCAACTGAAGCAGCAAGACTTTTGGATTTAGTATCAGGTAATGTATGTCTGGTGAACAATGACAACCACTATGAATCCCAGCTGCTTTTGCTCCTGGAAGAATGACTTGATGCTTTTGGGGTGCTCTCATTGCCTGCTCCTACGCAATTACTGTGGTACTGGGATTCAGAGATCAGTGCTCGCCATGTAGAGCTGAAGAGTTCAAGGCAAACAATCACAACACTAGATCACAGAATCACAGTTTATTCTGAGTTGGAAGGGACCAACAATGGTCATCAAGTCCACCTCTCAACCATACAAAGGACCCCAAAAATCACACCATCTGCCTGAAAACATTGTCCAAATGCTTCTTAAACTCTGTCAGGCTTGGTCCTGTGACCATTTCCCTGGGGAGGAAGATGGAAGAATCTGAAAACCTCTTACCTGTGGATAAATAACCAGTACCCCTGATTCTAATCTCTTCAGTCAGCTGCCCAGTTTTATTCAGATAATCCAGGGCATAGATGTTGGGTGTGAACAAGGCCATGTTCTGTTCTCCGCAGCCATAAGGCATATGGAGGAGGTTATCTAAGTTCCGCAGGGCTGTACCCAAAATGTCTCCTGGAGAGTGAAAAATGCATGAAGTCAGCTCAGTTCAGACATGTTTTTATTACATAGCATTATACATTGCTCTGTACTTTCTTATTATGAACCCAAGGGCAGTGACTAATATAGAGTAATCGTAGTAACCAAAGACACATCATAGAAGACAAGTGCTAAACTGTCCCCGTCTTTTCATTTCTTATCTGGGTGATGGAAACACAGGAATCTTTGAGAAACTGAGAATTTGAGAGAAAAAAGTGAGCACCACTATGGGCTGGCATGGCTTCTGAGAAACAGCTGTGAATCCTTGGAAGGCTTAGATTTCCCTGCCCTTTACAACCTGCTTCCTGTTTTTGCACGTACATGTGAAAATGTTGTGTGGGGTATGATGCTGATGGGCTGCAGAGGCTGTAATTGCACAGCATCAGCACACCTCACACAGACACAGGCACCCAAACCAGCCGTGTTTAGAAAACAATCTGAGCTCAGAACCTCAAAAAATTTTCACTGAAGAGAGCCTTCAAGTCTTAATAATGACTTTCAGATTAACAGAGTCAATTGAGACCTGAAACTTTTATACTAAGGGAACTTAATTGACTTACAAATGTTTTTCACTATGCAAAATGATAAATTTGAAATTATGCAGTCAGCAAAGTTCTGAAGATTTCTTTCCAAGAAATTAAGATAATTTTTTTCAAAGAAGTCTGCCTTACGGTACTTTTCATCTGAATCAGCTGTTTTACTACACTGAACTGGATATGTTAATGCAGTATAATCTGAAATGCAATATAAATGGAAATTATTGGACCATTTTGTTCCCTCTTGATATGACAGAATTGTGAGCAAATTTTGCCTCTCACTGCCATTTTGCAAAGGAGAAAACTTACCTTCTAAAATCAGGCATAATTACTTCTTCAACTTTACATAAGGTTTGTGTGTGTATACATGATGACACCTGGTGCAGCAGAAAAGAAACGCCATTTTGCATTTAGCCTATGTACTAAACTTACCAATGACAGAAAAATAAGCTCTGGCTGATCCCTGCACTAGGTTTCTTGGCAAGCTGAGAGACACCTGTTCAGAAATCTTTTTGCCTGATGAGAAAATATGAAAAGAAGAGTTGTTAAAATTACAGGTTTTTTTACAGAAGTTTTACTGTTATAGTCTTCAGTCTGAGTAAGGAAAATGCCACAGAGACTTGCCCAATGAGCCAAAAGTATCTTAAAATCTTGAATTTTAGCCTTGCATCCTGACCCTATGTCCTGGTCATCCTAGGACACCCTGAATATCTCTTTCCTCCCCTGGAAGGGTCTCTGGTTTTGTAGGACAAGATCTACCAGACAGTGGAGCAGTTCCACTTGACTCCTTGGAATGAATAAATGAATGAATGAACAAACGAACGAACGAACGAATGAATGAATGAATAAACTTGCCTTACCCTTTGCACAGACGAGGGAGCTCTGAGTCAATTCCTTTTTAATACCTTCAGGCTGTTTGATTGCAGTCAAGTGGTCAGGAAGAGAAAAAAAAATGCAGAACATCACCATGAAACCATGACATTTATCAGGGTAAGACAGTATGTGAATATGGCTGTCCAAACAACACACCTCTTGTACCCAGTCCTACCCTAGCTCCACTAGAATATCTCTTGGTCCATGGCTCCCTCTCTTACACACCATCCTTTTCCAAAGCACCTTCCTACTCAAAGAGCAATTAAAAAATAGGTATTTCTAGCCTCAGAGAGGGACTCTGGCCAATTAATCCCATGTAGCTGTTGATTTATGACGCTCAAGACAAGCCCTTTTCCATTTCTATCTTCCCTCCATCCTCCTCCCTAGTATTTGAGTCACATGCTAAAGGTGCTTAAAAGTACGGTATGGTTAAGAGTAAGGTATGGAATCTCTTCCCTTCTGGCAACATGGGCTGTCAGGACACGTGCTCATGCTCCCAAGAAGGAGACAGAGGGAGGAGGACAGCTGATACCTGTGACCACCATGATTTCCACCCTTGTTTTGGTATGGAGAAGCCTACTGTGCACAGGTACTGTTCTCCCTCCTCACTGTACTGCACTCCCTCCACCACTCCTAACTGCTTCTAACCCTCAGCCACAGGAACTCCAGTTTCCACGAGGTAGAAAGCACCTGCAGATTTCCCACTGTACCTCAACAAGTAGGGTTTGAATCAAGGTGTCCCTGTAAATGGTCTTGTCTTCTGGAGATGTGCTGTTTCCAGTACCTCTGGTGCTCAGTTTGGCCTCAGCAGTAACCACAAATTTCACCTCACCTGGAAAGCCACCCACCAGCCCAAGAAAATGAAGTTATCTTCAATGTCTACAACTACCCCTGGTTTTGACTGCCCCTTCTAGGCTGATGAACTGCTAAGAAATGATTTTCTATAAAGACAGCTCAGTAAAATCCAATTTTATCAAGATTTAGTAAAATCGTGCTTGCCTGGGGCCCTGGTATGGAGAATGAAAGAGGGGTCATCCTGGCCAAAAAACAGACATTCATTACCAATTTCCGCTCTTCTTATCCTTGTACTGAATTTTCTCTGGCCTAGGGCAGCGTTGCAATAGTTTAATTGTAGCTCTTCTGCCTTTATGCATATTTCAATTTTCAGAGCACTTACACATGCAAGTAATTACAACTGCTTTAAAAGAAAAAGACAATGTGGACTTGAAGGCAGTGCAGATTAACACAGCTATAAAACTGGGAAGGAGCAGTGTCCTTATTGCCCACTGAGAATCCGGTCCAAAACTATTAGCAAATTATTAGCAATTAATGGAGCTGTCCAGAAATACCTGCTTGTGGATTATTAATGCTGTCCTAAAGGGTGGGAGTAGAAAGATCAAACAGGGATATATTAAGGTGGCAAAAAGGCAAACTTACCCAGCTTTTGGGGGCTAACAGCCCAAATATATGTTTTTCTTTCATTGGCACACACCGTTGCTGTGTTGCCCCCCAATGAAAGGATCTCTGCCTCATAGTCGCTTGACTGTCCCAGTATGGCACTGATCTGAGACAAAGAAAGAAGAAGCAAGATTACAAATGAAAGAGAATGACCTTAAAATCAGGCTGCAGAGCAAAGGAGGCTGCTGCATTACTCAGTATTTATTGTGTTTTGCACAGCACAGTACCCATACCCTCTGCTGAGGTTCCTCCTTCAAGAGCAAAAAGATCTGTGGGAAAAAAGCAAACCACGTAGGAAGTAAAATGGAACTGGATCTACCTGGACACACTTGTTGAGGTAGTTGAAGACATTGGCTATTAAATTAAATTTTTCTCCTCGAGTGACAGAGTAGGGCAGGGTGAGGTCCACAAAGAATGGTTGGAATGCTGTCAGGGAAACGGGTGAGGAGATGCCAAACCCAGCATCATCCTGCACACAGAAAGCGCTGGCTTTCCATTCTGTGATAGTGTCAGGAATGGTGTAAGACACATTGACCTCTCCCCTGGAACTGAAGAGAATAAGAAACAAAGACTGAGAAATGATCTCTGGAATTTTTCAAGACAAATAGAACAGGTTTTCTGCTTGTGTTAGAACTTCTGTTTTCATCTCACTTTCTACAAGACACCTTTCCATATATTAAAAATAATGTTATAATGCTTGAAGTAAAGATAAAGGTGCTGGTTAACTACACGTTAAAGCACTCAAATACTCAACACTTTAAATTTAGAAATACCAATTTTTGAAAAAACAGAATGCCCAACCACATAGATTAGAATCAATAAATTTAGATTAATGTTCTAGAACAGCATAGTTAAGGCATAGTTAAGATGGAAATATTCTTATTGCAGATGCTATGATAGCCTGAAATAAAATAAAATAAACTGAATTTTTAGCTGCTGAATTAAAATTTGGATGAAAAATAACAAGCTCCTTCTCTCTCCTTAAAAAAATACTTTTATTTCACTCTTAGCCCCTATTTATTTCTCCCCACCAGAATGACAGGGAACAGAGCACAGAATATTTGTTTGCAGTTGTCATTGATCAAGACAGGAAAAGTAGACCCACATCTACAAAGCAAATATATATTCTGTGGTTCCTTCCCAGAGTCCATTTTAGCTAAATGAATCAACTCAAAAAGGAAGAAAGTAGTGAAGATAAACATGCTTACTCAGTGTCCACCAGTTCCCAAATCCAGGTCTCGGGGAAGTATTTCCGAACACTGCTGAAACCACCACCCGCACCAATAATCGCTGCCTCACCTAGAAGTGGGGATATGGTTAAAGGATAGTATTAGGATATATATTATATTGGTATATAGGATAGTTAAAGAAGAGATGTCATGTGAGAAGAATCTGAACTTGTCAGATATCCTCCACCACCACAAACAAACAGTAAGTATCTTGTTTGAGCATTTTTTGATTTCCCATCCCCTCATATAACAGGGAAAATTCTAAGAGATATGGGGATATGCAAAGAAACAATTTCTGTTTTCCCATGGGAAAATACCAGAAATATTAGCTATTTTACAAGACATTTCACTTCATTTCATTCTGAAAGGTCTTGTCATTCAGTTATTGGGTGCAAGCCCTGTAATTCTCTAGTCCAACTTATTGAAGTAGGACTAACTTCAAAGGCAGTTCAGGTTGCTTCTTGTGCAGCACACTTTTGAAAACCAGCAGTGATGGAGACTCCAAAACCTCCTGGAGATTCCCTTCCAGTGTACTGGAATTCTCCTGAGGAAGAACTTTTTCCTAATGTTGAATAACGCTTTGTTTTGTGGCAACTTATGATTGCTACTTTTGCTCTTTTGCTGGGCAATCTGACTTGATGGAGAGAGATAATCATAACTTTTGCTGATCTATAAAGGCTTTGGAGGCTATGTGCTGAGTGTGCCACATGCTGTATGAAGTCTTGACTTTTAAATATTTAATTGAATTATGATTTGATGAAAGGTTCTGACCTGAAAAGCCCTGAAAAGGCAAATATCAATTTATAAAAGAAGCAGCATCACAGTATTCCCCATCTTTTCTATATGCACCTGCACCTGAAACAGAATTGATTCTACTGCAAGGACTGCCAGAAGGAGATTACAGGATGTAAAATGGAACACACAGGCCTATTTCCCAAAACCTTTCAGTAATAATGACTGTTATTTTATACAAGCAACAATTTTAAAGACCAGGTAGACTGAGGCTGGAGATACAGGATGAACTTTCTTTTACCTAAGGCCCTGAGATTGGAGTCAGAGTAGTGAGAAGGGTAATTTTCCGTATCTGGTGTCTCCTCATTGCACAGAACCGGTTTCCGCAGCACAGAGTTGGTGAACACTTTCAGACCCATACCCTAAATGAGAAAGAATCTGTCAAATCACTCAGGGCATTCACAAGCTGCCAATGCATATCACTGATTATCATTCCTTTCATTTTAATTTATCCCCTCCCTCATCCCATTTCATCCCATTCTTTCAGCCTTGAATGTCTTCACCTCACCAACCTCTGTGTATTTCTTATGGAGCAGTGACACCTTGTGTTCTGCAAAGAGCAGTGATGATGAGTCTGATGTTGGCCTTAAGGCACAGGGCCAATGGGCAGTGGAGCCCAGTGTACCAGGAACCAAGCAGCCTGCACCACAGACACAGATCTGTACAAGAAATGCCTGAAGTCATGAGCCAAGGCCATGGTCCTCCTTACAAAATGTCTGCTGAACTATGGGCAGCAATCCAGTTATTTTCTAGCAGTTATTTTCAGACCTCCTGAGTAAGTGATGAGGAAAAAAAGGCAGAAATTGAGTGATTGGAGGCTTGAGGCAGTTTCAGGCATCAGCTGCCTTCTCTCAGCAAGAACCTGAGAAAGTTGAATGCTAATGCAGATGAGTTCTGGAATCCCTCCCACTTAAAGAGCCTCCCACACAGACCACATACCCTGAAAATCCTGTAGACATCTCCATCACGGCTGACATTCACAGGTTCAAAGTACAAGCCATCAGAAAAGATGGTTTTGGATGGGGTACACATCTGTGGCCTGTCATCGTCCAGGTTGAGCCCATTGTAGTAATAGCCATATAAATCACCCCCACCAAGCTGGTAGTACACCTGGAGGTGAGAATGACAAGTGTAAGCACAAGGAAGGTCTCAGGCAGGTGCAAAATCACAGATATTCAAAGTTTATGGTGTTCCCTGAGCAATCCTGTAGACTTTGGCTTAACTAGTGGTGTCTACCTAGAGATGAATAAGCAATTTGGCCTGAACTGTACCCTGCTCCCTCTGAGCCACAATGGTTTTGTGGAGTGAGCTTGAGCAGAAAGCATGGAGGTACACTCTTGAGCTAAGCAAAGAGAAGATGAGTTTTACAAGACACTAGCTGTCATCCACAGCTTTTGTTCTGAGCCCAAGGCCTACCTGAGCTGTAAAAATACAATTTTGACATAATCACCCTACAGTGAGGAAATAAGCTGTCAAGGATTTACATAAGGCATATTCTTAATAAGGGGTATATGTTACACTGCCATGCTTCCCAAAAGTAGTGTTGTGCCATCAATTTCTGTCTTTGAAGTGTATGATTGCCTTAGCCCTGCCTTTAATCACAGATGTCTGTTTCCAGAGGAAAAATAAAAATACAGTCAGCAGCAGAGACATCAGGTAGGAACAGAGTTGTTCCTTGCTCAAAATAACACAGGACTGGGGATGTGACTTACACTCTCGGCAGATAACTCTTGCCCAGACTGAAGAAAGATGCTCTGAATTGCTCGCAGGGCACAGTGAGAGCTGGCAGCAGCTTCCAGGTGGAGTCCAACTTTAGAGCCCGGGAGACCCTGCTTCTCAGAGAACTTGAGCTGGACCTGGAAATCAGAACACCCAAGACAATGCCACAGAAATAAGGTGAGTCAGACTGGCACAGAGAAGTAAATCTCCCCTTCCCCCGGCACTCACTGTTGTCTGTAGGACAAAGCTCCTAACGCTAGATGGCCCTTCCAGATCCATTTGTAAAAATTCACATAATCCCCTAGCCACCCTTCTCTCTCCACTGTGTGAAGAGTTTTGTCTGAGCCTGACCATATGTGCCAGTTCCAGGGACAGCTTCTCGTGATCCCAGACATACCTGCGCCTTTTCTATTCCTAAATACCATCCCCAGTGCAGGGCTCTTGAGATCATTTCCTGAGCCTTTTTCAGCAAACCCTGACATATCCCTTAATAAGAAAGCAAAGGTTTCCACCTTGTTTTTGAAGCATATATCAGTGTGTATCCTGGAGCTGTCAGCCACTATCTCTCCATGAGGATGCACGGTGTAGAGCAGCAATCTGGCGCGGGGGCCAAGCTTCTCAGTGACGTTCAGTGTGATGGAAAATGTACCTCGGGGAGCTGTGGAAGGGACATGGATCAGGGGAGGACAAGCCAGCAAAAGAGCTTAGGCAAACATCAGCTTTGGTGGAAGGACCACATATTTATTTGTAACCTATAAGCACTTTTAAAGCCCAGGGAATTGGATATCGGAAGATTCATCTCTCAGTGGCTGAGGGACAGCTCCCATCAGCAAGGTAACGGGTACAAGCTGGAGGATGCTGAGACCAGGGTGCTTTGCAGAGAGAGTTCTACGCTGGGAAGAAGTTAAACATAGAAATCTGTGCACAATTGCTATGAGAAGAGCATAACATTGCCTTTGGGTCTCAAAACTAGAACCTTCTACACCAGAGGAAATAGAGCAATATCCTGAGTTAAAAGAGAGTTCCCTTAACACTAAGAAATATTGAATTCTTCTCTACATGGATAAAAACCACAAGTGCATGGACAGGGAATTAAGCTTAAGACCAATAAATAAATATGAAAACAAGTCCTATGTATGGAGAGAGGCTTACTTAAGCCACCTCCTGAAGTGTGCAAATAGACCAGGTTCTGCAAGAAAAGTTATTTTTAACAATGAAAGAATGAAGGTCAGGATCACTGTCATTTGTGGGTATTTGGAGATTTCTGAAAGGACAATGAATTTCAAGAGTTGGCTGCTAAATATTCCTTTCAAATGGGACACCTATTATTCTAAACCTTAAAACCTTATTATTCTAGTTAGTGAAGACTAGGATGTCACACAATAACTGTGAAACCATAAACACTCCTTGGCATTATAAAATAATACAATAAAACAGATGAAGGTTGCATTCCATGTGTTTGGTCACAAAAAAAAATAAAAATCTTTCTATTAACAAGATAAAATTGATTATGATATGGGGGGTTGGCTAGATGCTGCAGCAAAAGAAAATGATTCTGTGAGAAGTAACAGGTCATGGGCTTTAGGAACTTGTACCTGATTTAGCCACAGTTTTCTGCTTTCATCACTTGCAAAACTTATGATGCTCTGAAGCATGAGTAGTAATATGGTCTGGAACTTACCACCAGAAATGCTGACTTGCTTCTGGCCACTGAGAGTAATTTTTCCTTGTGTCATCACCTGGGAATAGAAAAATCTCATGAAAGGGAATCAAAAGCACCTAAAGCACCTTCTCCTTTCCACCATGAAATCATTGATTTTGAGTATTCCTCTGAGAAGCCTTGAAGGCCATCAGGTTGAGCCCTGATCCATAACCACTGTCTGATCATGAGATTTCTGCCTCACAGGGTGTTCGAGAGAAGGTGAAGAAAAGGTGTTTTAGGAGTAACATTAGGACTTACTACATAGTAGAAGTTTGTGTGTGTGGCATTGCTGTAGCCTTCTCTGTTCAGGACATAGTGAACATTGATTGTTTGCTGCTGGCCACAGCTGAGCTCCTCTGTCACTGGCTCAATCTTCAGAAAGCTGTTGGTCCGTGAGTAGAAACGCTGGACAAGGAAGGAGGCTTTGGGCTCATTATCAATCCCCCAGATAAAGTCTGCACATTCATCTGGTGCCTGTTTGACCTGCAAAACAGCAAACCATACATGTGGAATCAACAGTGTGGAAAAAAAAAAAATGCAAAGCATGAGAGGCAAAGACACCTTTTCTGTAAAATATTCTGTTGGGAAACTGATTTTGTGAGGCTGTTTAAGCCCTGAGTAAGAATGTGTGTGAAAAATTTATGTTTCACCAGTGCAGCATGAATGGCCTTCTGGACACTTGTAGGCATCCAGATGCTACATTGCAATAGCAGGGTTATTTCAGTTTCTTTTCAGGCTTGGGACCAGTTACATCAACTGCTGGGACTTACACTGAATTAGAATGGCATTGTACTAAATGACACACTTTTTCTCAGCTCTTTCCATCATACCAGAACAAAGGCATGACAATACAAGAGGACCATATGATGATAACAGGCACGAGTTTGTGCCAGCAGAAATGCAGGGAAGCAGTCAGCAGCAGTGAAAGATGCTGGCACGCACCAAGGCTAGATGGGGAAGGCAGTGCAGCGTCTGAGGAAGGTCCTCTAATACACAGAATAAAGAGATGGAAGATGAATGCAGAAGGAGCTTCTAAAGGGGAGAGAAAAGCAGGGTGGGACTGAAGATCACTACAACCCAGAGCCACAGCTGGGATGCAGTGTGCCTCTTCTGAGGTGTTGAGGTGTTTTCTCATATGATTTTCACAGAGTTTGCAGGTGTTCCTTCTATACCCTCTCTCCCATGAAGTATTTATTAATGAATTAGGCTGTAGCCTGTGTTTACTTACTGTCAGCTTTAAACTGGGATCAAAGAAGTTGGAGGTGTCAATGGAAAAAGCAGCAGTGCCATTTTTGTTGGTGGAATAGCTGGCCAGATAATCTCCATTGAGCTCCAGCAGGACAGTGCTGTTGGCAACAGGCTCACCATCCACACTTGTCACAGTGATCTGAACACAACGAATACCAAAGGGATTCAGGAAAAAAAAAAAAAGAACAACAACAAAAGAAAAGCTCTGTTTACCAGAGGATGTGCACTTAAACACTGAGGACTGTTGCAGGGAGTAGAAATAGCAGTACCAGAAATAGTAGTGAAATGCATTGAAGAGGCAAATGCTCCTCAGTATTTTGAGGGAGCGGGAGTTCTGTGACAGGAAAATTCCCATTAATGGGAAATTCCCATCAGTGCAGCATAACCTATGTGTCACAAAGGGAGGAGGCATTTTTATTGAAGAACATTGATTAACACAGCTAAAACAACCAGATGACTTCATGGCCACAGGCAACCTGTGGAGCTCAGTAGCACCTTTCAACTCCTACACATCTGTGCACACCCACTGTGTGCATCGCCTGTCAGGATGATGCTGTACAGGTCATTGTCCTTTTTGTGCCTGCTTTATCCTGCATGTGTAGGTTGCTAAGAAGCAGGAATGTCCTCCAACATCTATAGTGCTGTAAGTAAACATCCCTGGGATTGTGTGATTCAACACAGGGTGAATTAGTTTAGGCGTAACCATTTCTGAAGAATTTTCTTGAAGACTCCTTTTCCCCACTCATGTGACCTTCCACTTACTCACTTTTTAGGCATCCTCTGACTATAGCAGAAAAGAGATCCTGACGTGCTAGGTGTGGTACAATTTTCTTTTTTTTTTCTCTAGGAGTAGCAAGAGAACTGTGCAGTCACTGTTATGCAGCATTATCATGGGAAGCCGACAGCACATTCAGGTGACAGCCATACATGGGGCAACACAGAGACCATATAGCTGGACCTCAGGGTGTTTGGGCCTAAGTGTATCCTCTCATGTACCTACCTCACCATGGTAAGGAATTCCCCTCTTGTAATAGGAATCCATATTCCTGAACCGCACTTGGTCATTTTCTTGGTTGACTGAAACATAGTCATAGGCCTTGATCTGGATACCTGTGAGACACACCCAGTATAAAGGAGAGGAAACAGAAATCAGACACTAGCAGAAAGCTGTTTCTTTTGATAAGCTGTATGGAGTGGGGATGCTCTGGAGGGAGAGCTAGGCAAAGAAAACCATAGTTGCTGCCTGTTCACCACACAGATGCTGATCCAGGGGATTCCTCTCAGGAGGATCCATGCATTAGCTTTAATCAGTTACTCCCAACATCCACTTGGTGTTACCTGTCCCATTTTCAGTGACGATGCTTTCTATATTGAGGCTGGCATACATCATGGCATAGCTGCGGTAAAGCTGGAGTTTTTTGATGGAGATGACAGTGCTCAGGCAGCCATCCTTTCCCAGCTGAAATAGCAGCACAAAGGGAAAAAAAATATTTTTCTAAAGGTTTGCAAAATTTCTCCTCATTATATATTAGTGGGTCTCTGAAGAGCTCCCCACCTACCTTACATTTCTTGCTCCCCAGCTCCCATCCCAGATGACTGTTTCAATATCATTTACTCTAGCACCTGGAACTTCTCTCCTTATCCCCTCTAGTGTTCTCTGTGCTCATGCTCCTTTTTAAACCCATCTTGCATGATGCTTGTGCTCTGTGACCACAACACAGTGAGTCTGAGCTTGTTGACAAATTAATCATTTGTTTAATATTAAGTGTTCTCAAAGACTCCCAACAGAGATCTTCCGATTGGATTTGATAAGAACACAGCCCCAGTGTTTCAGAAATTACTACAAATTTACAGTTTCATAAGCTTCCCTCCTTCCTACTGATTCACTCCAAGGGAAAAATCAGTCTTTTAGTGAGTTCTCTCAGCATTGTGTGTGAGTGAGAAAAACACACCACTGAGACTGGTGTTCCCTTGGAAATTAATGATGCCACCTAATTCTGTGCTACATGTTGGGCAGTAAAGCAGACAGGGAAGAAAGAACTTGTTATGTAGCATGTATCATACCAGTCCAGTGGCAGATTCACAGGTTTTTTTCCGGTTTTGTTGACAGAGTGGAGTATAGAAGCGCTGCTGACACACATTTATTCGGGCATTCCCTTGCACTGGCTGGCCATAAGTGTACCTAGGAGAGGCAGAAACATGAGGATTCAATCACATGGATTTAATATGAGACCTGCAAAAGTTGCAGAGCAATGATGACTCTAAATCCCTCCGCAGTACCCAGAGCACAGACAGAAGAGCAGCTGGGAGTCAGTCAGCCCTAGCAGAATTCCCTTCTACTATTTATAGGCTGTTTCTGCCATTTTGTTAGAAAAGCCCTGCTTCACCATTGTTTTGGTGCAGTCATTCTGTAAAGAAGAATGAAGCTGGAAAGCAGTGTAGGACTCAGGATATCATTCCCTGCAGCTTTTTCTCATTGGTCTTACAGAAGGCAGAACATACTGCAGAAGAACCCTATTCACCCTTTTAGCTCCTGGCACCCTGCACTTTGGCAGCATCACAGACAGCAATTTTAATGATAGATTCTCATTTTCTGCAATAATAAAACACAACAGCTAGCAAGTAGGAAGTGCTTGATTTGGACACACACAAACTCTCCCAGTTTTAATTCTGCTGTGTAGCGGGAAAAGAGTTATCCTATTTTATATCATGAAAGTCATAGCTAAAGGATTTGCTCAAAGCCACATTCTGAACCAGCAGCAGGATCTCTGCTTCCCAGCACAGCCCACCATCCAATGCCTACACCATCTGTTGTGCACAATTGTGCTGTGTTCAGCTCTGATACTTACGAGGCACAAACGTTCACCCTGACTTCCTCGTCAAAGAAAGAAATCGCCTTTGGCCCAGTGGTTGTCACTTCAAATTTTGGCAGCACTGAGAATGTAATGTGAATATGACTGATCAGCAATTGTGTGCCATACACAGGTATGTGTGTGTGCGTGTGTGTGTGTAAGGCAGTAAAAAAACAGCTGGCAAAGACATTTTCACCAACAAGGGAGAGGAAATGGATCAAAGAAGATCCTAACTAGGAACCGGCTGTAGTCTATTACGATAGAAAAAATAGCCTTGAGTGGTAAGATGAGTAACTTCCTTAAAATTAAATAATAATCATTCTAATAATTGTAATAGTCACAGCAAAACCCGTGATAAACCACTTTAATCTCTTTTCTTAAAGAAAAATGAGTAATGCCAATGTCTCAAAGTAGTTCAGCCCTGGAGAACAAAAGTTATTATGCAATCCAGTTGCAGCGAAGGAGAAAGGCAACAGATTAAGTGAAATAATAAAATCAAATAGATTGCTGACACCTCCTTTCTTCAACTTATCTTTTATCCCAGGTCACCATCAATAATGACAACACAGCTGGGAAAGGCCTGTTTCTCATGCACCAGTCCACCCAGCTCTCTCCTTGTCTTTCTGTTCCAGGCATGACACAGAGAATTCAAAGGACTTAAACTGTGCACTAGTAGCTTTTATCTGACTTAGGCAGAGCCTCACTGCTAGCACAGGGTAGTTTATGAGCCTTTGCTTACCATATTGCTCCACTCTGAAGGAATGGTACTCTTTTTCACCTGACTTCTTTTCCACAGTAATTTGGTAGGACCCCAGAATAGGCTCTGGGATTAGTGGAAAGGAGAGCTGGACAATTCCATGCTTTGATGTCACCTCCAGCCACTGGAAGATCTTGTTTTGCTCTGGATCCTGGAAGAGTTATAGGAAAGCCTTTATCACCATTTCTTGCCTTCTTTCAAGGCCTGTCTTCTGACATATTTCCTAAATGTGTCACAGGCTAAGAGCGCTTTGGGGCTGGTGACATGACTTTCCACCTCTGCTTGTGGATTTAACAAACCTAAGTTTATGTTTAACTGGGAATTATCTGCACTGACAGATGGCCTCAGATCATTCAGAAACAGTTCCTGATTGGGACATAGGTTGAATATGGGGCAGAGGCTGCCTATCTATGGCACTCAGCACAAATCTTTCTGGCTCAACTGCCTTTGTAAGGCAGGAATATTATGCTGGCCTCTCTCAGAAAGTGCTGGGAGATGTAGTGATGTGAAATATAGAAGATGACTCATTGTTAACCCATCCCCATGAGAACATGGCATTTCAGAAAGTCACCATTCTTATGCCTGTGTAAGAGAATGAGGCTATTTCCCCAGTTATTTGCTGTAGTCCTCCCAGGGTAAGCCTGGACAGAACACTCCTGTTTGAACTCTAATGAAAGGCAAAGCAGCAACCCCACTCTGCCTCTGACTAACAGCTCCAGTTCTGCTGATTTCTTCTCCTCTGGTGCTTGATAGAGGATATTGCCACTGCTCAACCTTAAATCCATTGGCTCTACATGGTGTGCTCTGGATGAGCCTCTCTCAGCTGTTGACTCTATGGGAAATGATGAAGCATAGTCTTTCCAAAGTAACTCGTGCTTTAATTTCATGTTGTATCTCTTACCTCAATGATGATTCTGGGATACTGGAGGAGGAAATAAAGGGAGAGAAAAAAAATTATCAAAACAATAATCTAACAGTGGAGGTTGATAAACACTAGAACATAAGGAAAGCTGTAAACAGCTTTTTCTGGACAGAGAAGGCTGGGAAAGCAAACAATTTACAGCTCATGAGATAAATAAAGTAAATAAAGAGATAATTTTAAGAGGACAACCTGTTTGTGAATTTATATTTTCTGCAAAAATATCCAGTGTTTTTCTACATATCTGGGACTACAAAATTTGTGTGCTGTGAGAAATTTCCACAAGTGCTTTCAGAGCCTTGCTTCCACAAAGACAGGGAAATGACTGAGTGTGACGGTAAGGAGTCACAGCAAATATACAAAATACAAAAAATATAAAATATAAAAAATATTAGGAAGCCTATTCCAGGCCCTTCTTATTCAATATCTAAGTGAGAGAGTCTCAGTGAAGAGGTACCTCAAGAGGGTACTTGAAAAGTTTTGGCTATGACTCACACTTACCGTCTCCTGAACAGGTCTGAACTGGGTGTCCAAAGTGACCACACGAAACATCACTGAAAAAGACACAGGACAAAAAAAAGGATTACAGAATCATCAAGGTTGGAAGAAACCTCCAGGACTGTCTAGTCCAGCTATCAACCTGGCACCAAGTGTCAGATCTCCAAGTGTCACATGCTGATGCCTCTATAATTTATTTTATTAGCAGTGATAAATCATTTTCAATACACAGCTTTGCCCAGGCTTTTTTGGAAAACTAAAGAGCATCCAGGGAACATGAAAGGATTGTCTTAGCCAGTGAAAAAAAAAAAACAAATATAAATGTCAGCTGAAATATCTTCAATTATTACCCACTTGGACTGAAGCAACCTCTTTAGTGAATGCAATTTACTGCCTTTAATTCTTGTTGAAGGGCTCTGTTCTTTGGAATATTTCCTACAAAACCCACCTGTTTGTACAAATCAGTTCAATGAAAAAATCATTTTGTGGAAGAGAAGGAGAGAAGGAGAGGAGAGAAGGAATTCTTTCTTCTTTGAGAGAAGGAAGAATTTGTCTTTCTTCTAAGTGTAGACTCTGCAGCATTGAAGTATAATTATGCTAAAGAGATAGCTAACTCCATCACAACTAGTACTGCTATTTAAATGTTGTGATGGAATCAGCACTTTGAAATATATCAACCGTTAAAAAGAAAGAGTTGCTGACAGGAAATGAGGTGTTTGCTTCATTTTTATATTAACTTTATTAGCTCCAAACTTAACCTAATATTTTCTGTATTTTTAAGGATACTTTTTATGTGACTCTCCTCAAGTAAACCTGACAGAACCCGAGGTCCTGTAAATGCAATTAACTAAGTACAAACACATGGATTCTACTACTTCATTGTGCTCCTGTGAGTTGGTTCTATTTTTCACTAAGTTTGATGATCCCAAACTCAGATGAGGTTTTTATTCCACAAGAATAAATTTCTGTCATCCTTGACCCACCCTTGCCCTCAATTTCTCACTTCTCTAGCTGACTCAAACCCTTCATCCACCTGTTTGTCCTGGCTTGTAGAAGGGTTTGAAGGGTTTGTCCGTCTGGATGAAGACAGCACCATCCACATTCTGAATCGCCACTGATCTTCTCTCAGCTAAGACAACTCTGGCACCTTTGGCTGAGAAGGAAATGAATGCCACGGGATCAGAAGTGGCAGGAGGAACCTGCAAAGGAACAAAGCCACAGAGGAAAAGTGGTAAATGAGACATGCTGAGGTTCCCTGATGTGCAGGGTTTTAGACTAAGATACTGTCATAAGTTGAGTCATAAATGGCTTATGGAAAGTCATGAGAAGCCCCACCTTTGTCAGTGAGATAATTTCTGGGAATTTCTGCTATGGAAGGCCCGTAATCTGTCACCAGGTAATAAGATTTGAAGCTGTGCTGTGTCCTATGCATATCCTTCTTACATGCAGGTTGCCACAGCCATATACTTTTAATTCTGAAGTGTTTTCTCCTGCTGTTTTCTGGAAGACCTCACCTGGGGACTTTTGTGTGTGCAGATCTTGCAGGGTCATGGGAAAGGGAATAACTGCAATGCATCTGAGTTCTCTTGCTTGATACTTAAACAGTTCCATAAGGAGCACACAGCTGTGATGACAATCTAAAGCTTTTTTCTATTCACTCTGTGAATCGAGATGGAAAGTCTTTCTCTAGCTCCCTTCTACAGTCCATAGGTCTTTTTTTCCCCCTATTTTGTCAGCCTTTCCAACAGTTTTTAAACGCTTTGTCTTCTTTCCCTCATTGACAAGGAGAGTTGCAATCAGAATTATTTCCAGCTACTACACACTCTTCAGTAGTTTCAAAAGACAAAATACCTTGAACTCGCTGCACTTGAAGAAGTCATTCTCTGTCATGGGTTCCTCAAAGAGGGTCTGTTGGACACTGCCATATTCCAGGACAACGCTCACGGACAGGGGCTCGCTGAGGTTGTGTAACTGCACACAAGCCGTCTGTGGAGCGTCGCTCCGCACAACCGATGGGACCAGCAGCACATACTGCCTGTAAGACCAGACCAGAAAGTTCAGCCAGGCAGGAAACTCGCAGCAAACAGGAGAGGAAAATACCTCAGAACTGCCATAGGTGTGAAGGAAGACATGATCCAAGGGTTGCTCAAACCAATGGAAGGATTTAAATTTCTTTCAGTGGATTTTGAATAATATGCTAAGAAAGTACAAATGTCAACTTTTCAGTCCCTCACGGTTCTTTCTCAGCTGAGGGACTGGCATCGTTCTGTGCAGTGTCTTACCCAACATGATACTGCACCTCTCACACAGCCTTACACAGGCTTGCACTGTTGCTGAAGTGGCTAAAGCACAGTTGCATTTGTCCTCCCATTACCTGGGTGTGTACTTAAACTTCTGCAGCCTCCCATAAGGAGGAGCGGTATTTAGCTTCTTCTTGGGATCAATGACAAAAACACTAGTTAAGGTTTGCAACAATCTTTAAATTTCTCATTCTCTGGATATCTCTCAGATAAGAACTGACATAAGTCAATCCACTTAATGCACAAGAAGTGATCTTGCTATTCTATTTTGTAGAAAATTCCAGGAACTGCTCAATCTAACCTGCATTCTCAATTCTGTTTCCATGCTTCTGTTTTCCATGTTTTCCAAGCATGTTTCCATGCTTCTCCCCGTGCTGTTCTCTTTGCTTTCTTCCACTGAAGTTTTTTATTTACACTTTTTTTCTCTATAATTAGGGCAGCCTTTCTTCCCCAAAGTACTCCTCTAAAAAAACCTTTCTTCATATTTGCTGTGTTTGTCTAAAACTCTGGTGCTGTCCAACACTTTGCTACCCAAACAACTCTTTCCAAATAATGTATGACAGAATTCACAAGTTGGTTTTGTAGCACAACATGAATCACACAATCTTTTCCTTTTGATCCTTTCCCTTTTTTCCTCCCACAGATTTGCCAGCTCATATTGCCTTATTTCTATTTCCACTTGCCCAGTTCGAGCTGCATGAAATTCAAAGACCTAAATGAAAAGTATTAAAATTAACAGTGTATTGGAGGAAGCTAAGCTGTTTTTCACAGTGTTTTCCTTTAGAATTTTTGAGAAGAGGGTTTAAGCTCTAATGTTGGTGGATTTCTGAATACTGTGGCTGAAATCTTCTGTTTGTATAAAGGTGTGGACACTGACAGTCCTAATATGAATATTAATTGTACTGGGTTTGCCATTCAGCATGGTCTTAGTTCCAGCCACTGTCTGGCCTCTCTCTGAGCTGCTGATGTATATCAATCCTTATTATTAGTATTACTTGTTAGTCTAGTCCTGAGTCTCCTTGCCACTTTACCCATGCACATCACACTTCAGCTACTCAAGTTCCAGGTTTCTGGAACTTTCATCCACACTAGATTTCACAGCAGTTTTATGATGGAGAGCACCATTCCAAATCATCCTTCAATGTCATCTACTTCCAAATCAGCACATTTAAGGATCTGGGTCTCAAATATCCTGTTTATTATATAGCAGTGCCTCAGAAGAAATAAGCTGGTGGGAAATACAATAAAATGTTATCAAAAAGACACAGAATGTGTGACCACTTACGTTTCAGAAGACACTATGGGAAACCAGTTCAAGGACAGAATACCGAGAAGAATCCTTGACCACATGTTTGTACATGGAGAAATCGAGAGACTGATCTCGAGCTGACAGCCTGTCCCTGGTTTTTAAACTGGCCTGAAATGGTGCTCCTCCTCCACGCTTCAATCACCATCTGACAAAAGATATTTACATAAAATTTGCATACGTTCAATTTCCTCAATACTGTCTGCTCTCACACTCCTTGAACTCCCAAACAATAGCTTTGGAAAGCTCTCATATTTCACATAGCTCTGTGAGGTATTGCAAGCCAAACCGGTTCCTGCCTATATGATTGTTTCATTAAAGCTTACCTCTTTGATTATCATGTCATTGGTTAAAGATTCCCTAATGTTTCAACTTGTTAGTATTTGCCACTGCTTAATTATTTCCTGATTCTGCAAAGGTGTCCTGCAGACACATCACACAGCAGAAATAATCATAACAGACTGCTTTTTCATGTCTGTATGGGAGCCAGGACAGGTAAAAACACACCAATACAGCTACAGCTGCCTTCAGAATGGCACTACAGGAAACTCCTGTAAATGATAATTACCTGTAATGGTAATCTGAATTTCTTACTGCAGACACTAATATTTGGCAAGGGATGGTGCTGGCTAGTGGTCTACCATTTTTGCCAGTGGTCAGGACAAGTACATTTCTAGGGAAAGGAATCTGATAACATTACTTCATTTGTTCACTCATCTGTCTGTCAGTCTACTTTTTCCCCTCATCTCTACTCCCCCTATTAAATGACTTGTTGTTCATGAATTTTAGTAAATCTGAAAAGAAGTTTCAGAATAATTAATATACAGAATCACAAAATAATTCTGATAGGAAGGAACTTCCTGACATTATGTGCTCAAATCTCTCAGGGCTAGCTTCAAAGAAGTCATGTTTTGTGTATCTGGAGGAATGGGGAGTCCACATAATCTCTGGACATCTGCTCCCATGCTTAAACATCTATGCTGTGAACTCTTCTTTTCCTTAAATCAGAATTTCCCAAATTACAGCCTGTGCCCACTTTTTTGTGCCCTTTCACTGTGCACCTTAAGGAAGAATCTGCCTCTTTCTTCTCTATAATCCCACTTTACATTGTGGAAGACTGAAATTATGTTCCCACGTAGCCTTTGTTTCTCCAGGCTGAATTAAATGAGACTATTTCCTTCTGTGGGTTTGTCCCAGTCCCTGATCATCCCAGTGACCCTCCACTGGACTCCTTTCAGTCTGTCAGTGCCTTTCTTGTACTGGATGCAGAACCTCATTGTGGTCTCCCAACCACTGAACACAGGGGAAGAATCAGTTTTCTTGATGTGTTGGCTAAACTCTTGATAATACTACCAAGGAAACAAAATAATCTATAGTAACTGGGGATTGGATTCACACCCTTACATAAGAAATGGAAAAAAGAGCCAATCTGAAAAGAAAATAAGGTAGGCCACACAAAAACAGTCTGCAACTGCAACCTGGGGAAATAACAGGCAATTTCCTTTCTACTTTGTCTTCTCAACCAAGCAAAAGATGAATGTGAAGAGGAAGTTGAGTATACTCCAGGAGTAATTAGGAGCATGAAAAGGAGCTGGGGGCTCTGAAAAAGGTGTTGAGCAATGCAGAGAAGGCATGAAGTTATTTCAGTGGTAAAGAGTATGGGGAGGAAATGAGGACTACTATAGCAATGTGGTGTAGAAATTGATGTATGCCTGTTAAAAGCCAGATTCTACCAATTAAGCTTTAATGGTAAAATACATTCTTTCAACCTTCTAGCTAATGATTCAGCCACACTTATTTAGTATTAAACAATAAATTTAACAATAAATTAAATTATTCTTTTTATCAGCACAACAGATGTTTAAAAATACTTGTGCCTAACCAGGTTACCTACTCATCTTTCCTAAAACCTTTCTGATGACCAAGATGGGACACAAAGGAAACTGCCCAGGATGCTGCTGGAGCTGTGGGAGCTACTGTTCCCACTATGTTACTTGTGAGAACTATGACACAAAGCTTCCCAGAATGATGTGGCCTTACAGTGACAATGATGAGTGGCAGGTATGTGGTGTGCAAAGAGGGCAGTCACAGTGTGAAGGAAGCCGCTTGCATTAGTAGAAATGATGTCAGAGACAGTTAGCAGTATGTCACAGATATCTGCAGATTTGAAGTGCCTCAGACCCCATCTCTTACTTTAAACAGGTACTAAGTAATAGGCAAAAAGAGTTGAGGAGGGAGGAGGAAATAGCAAACAACCCCAGGATCCTGGTGTAAATTGCTCCAGAAGCTCACCCTTTATTTAAGTGCAGTGTGGCTTTAACAGGATGGTAAGAGGGTTTTCTTGTTAACAACCAGGCATGGAAAAGAAAAAGATAAAGCGTTCAGAAAACTGAAACCCTGGAAGAAACTATGTTCAGAACAATTGAAAAGTACTTGTTTCTCTGGAAACAAGCTATTGAATTAGCTATTTTAGTGAAATTGTTGATTCCAGAGGACTTCTTTGTATTGTAGCAATGTTGTGATAAGAGCACATCAGTACCAAGACAGGCATAATACTTAAGATCCCAGTGCAAGGAGGAAACTATTCCAGGTGCCTTGGGTAGGGAGGGAAAATGAAGAAATTTTCAGTTGTATGACTAAGAAACTAGGAGCCAGAGTGGATAACAGAGATCAGGATTTAACATGGAGGGATAATGAACCTCACACTAAGCAGCATTTACAAGTAAGACACACAGAAAGTTCCTTGATACTGGAAATCTTAAACCAGTCTGTGGAGCCGCTTTTTATTGGCATAAGGAAAGATATAACTGGATATCATAGCTCCAGTGAGCTGAGGAACTCACTGGAAATGAGGAACAGTGTCAACTTCAAGACCAAAGCAGTGCAAATACAAAAGTATGCTTGATTTTCAAAGTAGAATATTGTCACATGTCTTTTGGACAGCAGAAAATCAATATGTCTTCAACTCATTTTGTCCAGACTTCAGAAAGTTACTGCATTAGCTCTCTGTTACTAACCAATTTTATATACACATACTTTCCCCCTGCTCCATTCTTTCTCTAGATGAGTCAAAGTGATGATTGGAGTTGCATTGAAAACATGTTTTTCACAAGTTAATTTTCTTTCTAATAGAGTTGAATTTGCCAATCCATTTTATCAGACTAAATGCGCTTGCCTTCTTTTTCTCTTTCCAGCTGGGCACACATACAGGCCAAGGCAATGTGAAGTTTTTCAACCAAAACTGAATCCACTCATTTTCTGTGAGTGTTTTCAGTGTTTAGCATGCACACTGCTCTAGCAGAGCATTCTGTGAGGCTGTGGCTAGTCACATACAATACCCCAGTTAGCTTGGGTAGGCCAAGTCAAATATCCCTACACTGTCCCAACATGCCCAGCATATCTGGGTACATATCTGTATGTACAGGATCTAGGCACTAGATGCAGTCACAAATGAGAAACTAAAGCAGTTGAACAATATCTATCTGGCATGCAGACTGCTGCACAGTCTGAATGCAGAGCCGAGACATTCAAATTCTCGGTCAATATGGATCTAAGTCATGCCTGTTTTCCTTTTTGTCAGAGAATCAGCAGGAAGTTGATGAGAAATATGAGCAGCTTTTAGCAGTGAAGCTTTGGATTTTCCAGAAGAGTGAGTAATACATAATTACTCGTTTCTGCTCTATGGCTGCACTTTATATTTGCCTAACACTGCAAGGACTGCAAGTACTTCCTAAGTCATTACTTCATCTGAGATGACGTACTGACAATTCACCACACCCCACACACTACAATACCCGTTTTATTGCCTGATTTCTTTACCTACAAGAGGTGGATATGGCATCAGAGCCTCAGCTTCCATTCGACTTAGGCAAACACTCTCACAGCAGTCCCAGGCTATGTACTAGCCTGTGATTTTCTCAGGAAATTATAATCTGAAATATGCTTTCCCACAACACATTGATCAAATGTGCTGTGAAGAAACATCTTGATCTAAAAAGCCAACAAATCTCTGAAAAGTGTTGTGCATGTTTTAAAGTTTACATGCTTTGGATAAATTTTCCCACACAGCCTTCTATTTTTCCAAGACATACAGTTTTCTGCAAGCTTTTAGGTTTGCAAGTGAAAGTATTTCTCAGAATGTTTGCTGGCAAGAGGCCACAGTGTGGTTGGTATTCTGTATCATTTCACGTTGAATGGATGGAACATTTTTCTGATGTTGCTCGTTTTCTGTAGTGATAAAGATCGGGTAATTTTAAGCATTGTAACACTGTTCTATTGAGAAGAGCAAACCATAAACTATTCAGTACCTGAAAGACCTATGTTTTTTTTTTTCACACATAGACTTAGTAAATTAACTGCTAAGCTTTCAACACCATATTTATTGAATATGTTTTAGTTCTGCTTCTGAAAAATTAAGTATTGCAGCCCCATATGTCATGAAACACTTGAAATACCAACCAATTTTCTTTATCTATAAAGTAATGTAGTGTATACAGACATCCTTGAAAAATGCTTGCTGTATTTAAATGATGAAAATAGGAGAGTGTAAACATAGCAGGGCAGGCTAGGAAAAAGAAAGTTTAAAAAAGACCAGCAAAGACAATCAACACCAGTCATCTGCCTTTCTTCAGAAACAACAGAACTAGGAAGCCTGCCAGAGAATCCACAGGGCCATGTAAAGAGAAGAATATAAGAGGTCAAACAGAGTGCAGGAACAGTGCAAACAATCAATACTTATTGGTTTAGTTACTCGAATTATTAATGAGAATTACTGTATTTAAATTAACATAACAAAAAAATGAATTAACATTTAATATAAAAAATTCATTTATCATAAAACTATCTATGAAGAAGGCAATTTTTATGCAGTAACTCTGTTGCTGACATTCTGAATTAGCTCGAAATTGTTAAAAAATTGACATATTCAACTCTAAGATTTGATTGTTACAGACCTTTGTCATAGGAAACCACGAACATGTATTTCATTTGATCACAAAGGACAAAAATCTGTGACACTGAGCCTTTTAAAGAGTAAAAGTAATTTTTACTTCAGTAGAAAACTTTCCTTTCGTCACTGTTTTCCTTGCTCCCTTATTCATATTGTTCTGCAC